GACGTTTCTTACATTGCGCTTGCGTCTTCACCGTGCCCATAACATTGTCGTCTCGGTCCGAGTCGTCGCCATCAATCATGGATTGTTGTGGACCGGTCTCTTCTTTGGGTAGCATTAAACAAGATGTAGTTGATTTCGAAGTGCCAGTCATTTTCTGACAGCCCTTCACATCATGCCCCCACTTACGGCAGTTTGTACAAAATACTTGTTTAGGTTTACTTCGACAGTCAGAAGCCTTGTGCCCCTTACGGCCACAAACAAAACATTGCATCTCTGCTCTTGGGCTTGAAATCAATTTAGCCTTCCCAGTTGTGTCCTCACTCTTATTCTGAACTATTAATAAGTTCTTCAATCTCTTTGCCTCTATATATATATCAGCTGCCTCTGCCATGGCTTCCAGAGTCTTGCAGTTCTTCTCCCGTAAGAAGAGCGCCAGCTGACTACTGCAGTTCGCCATGAATTGTTCGGCTACAATCAAGTCACGGACTGAATCGAAATTCCTCTCTGTCTGAGACATTTCTATCCACCTGTCAAAGAAACTTTGGAGTCTCGTGGCATACTGTTTTCCAGTTTCGCCGTCTTCAGGCTTGCTTTTCCGGAATTTCTCACGGTAGCCATCAGCCGTGAAGCGAAAACGCTGGAGCAGTGCCAATTTGACTTCGTCGTATGACAGGGAATCGTTCGGTGACAACCGTCCAAATACCTTCAGAGCCTCTCCGCCAAGGCACAAACTAAGAGCCGTGGCCCACTTTTCCCGTGGCCAATCTTGACCTGTCGCCACTCTCTCAAACCTTTTCAGGTAGGCGTCAAGGTCGTCTCTGTCCTCGTTGAAAACGGGTATAAAGTTATGCGGGTTCACTACCATAGGCGCGTTCCTTTGGTTGCCCGTGTCAGCCACCATAGGCTGACCGACACCGGCCTCAGCTACTCTCAGGCGCAGTTGCAGCGTCCTCTCTTCTACTTCCAAGTGTCGCTGGCTTGCTTCTCGGGTTTGGTTCTCCGTTTTTGCTACTTCAAGACGTAGCTGTAAATTGCGGCCTTCCAGCTCCAACTGTTCTTTCTTCGCGTCTCTCTCCGCGGCTCGTTCATCGCGCTCACGCGCTTCTCGTGCGTCAAACCAAGCCTGCAATTCTGCTCCCTCCAACCCCATGCGTTCTGCCAGCGCCATCAACTCTCGCGAGCCCATTTTACTTTTTTAGTTAGCCTTACTCAAATCTACTTTTTAGTGGCAAACACTCACGTCCTGTCGTAGCGGACGCCAATTTGTGACAGGTTCAGTAAATAAAGCCAGTCGAGCTAGCTGTGAAACGTTAATCTCTCACGAGAAAAGGAAGTGAGCGTTTGATTTGCAAAAAAAAATTATACTTTCACAAACACACAAAAAAAAAACCACAAAAAGGAAAATACTAAGATCAGAAAAATGTTAACTAATTAGCACTGTCAGTTTCGTTAGCGAGCGGAAACCTCTAAGAGTCTAAACAGTCCTTTTCGTTAAAGTCCTCGTGTTTGAGTCCGGACGCGAGAGAAGACGGATACGGCTCACCAGCAGTTCACGCCCTTCAATAGTCCATTGGGGAAGCTGCCGTGGTGAGAGTGCATAAGCTCGGGCCCGTAGCCCGACGGCTTGCTCCCGCTCCCGGTAGACGTCATCTGCTGCGCTGTCTTCCGCTCGAACATCAGACCAAGGTCTTGCCAAGGATTCGCCAATAGCCGCTGCGGTTGAATGGTCACCAGGACCCCGTGGAAACAGTCGCCCGCTAGGTGGATGCCCTGACGCCCAGGAGGTACTCGCACCCGACGAGGTCGCACGCCGCACCCTAGCCTTCTTCTTCCAAGCACGAGCCCGAATCTCCTCTTCCTCGTTCTTCGATGCCCTGGCTCTGGATTTTTCTCCCATTCCCTTGAATTTTCTTCTTTTTCCAATCGCCAGTGTTCGCCGCACTGGCGCAATACGCCATCTTGCACACATTGTCAGTAGTTCATCTTACGCGCCAAATTTGAAAGTCACTTGACTCGCGCACTTCACTCACAACACTTGCTTTTATGATGGTAATTCAGGACTGTTTTGACGGCTGCATATGACTTTTATGTGAGACTTTGTAGTGTTCGACATCATTTACTCGATTTCGGCGAGCGTTACCCTGAGAATGCCTCCGGATACTAAGACCTTCTGCGCTAGTTTTTACCAAGGAGGATTAATTTTTTTTTTTAGAACTCCTCCATGGGTTTTAAAGACGCGCGCTTAGCGAAACGATGTTCTCGCGTTTCTGTTGTGCGTTCAAAGATAGTCAATTAGACAGTTTGAGAATTAGGGGCCCAAGACACTGGGTCCCCAAGCTTCGTTGCGTATAGGTTGCTCTTGCGTTCGCAGGATCAGAAGAGTTTGAGAACTCGGTCAAACGCAGGCTGCATTGGGTCACACACACGGGGCGCCACCCGTGGCCAAATTCGAAATCATGCGAGACGCGGGAAATACGTGGATACGGAACTATGTACAACTCAATTACGCTGCACACTGTGTGATGCAATGAGTTGCACACTGCACAAAGGCACACTATTTTTTCTTCTTAGCACGCAGCGTTAACGCTCTCCACACACCAGAACCAGCAAACACGGATACTTCAGCTTTAGAGGCGAAGCTCCTTATAGCGGCACCCGTTCGTCCCTCGTAGCCGTTGTAGTGTGTAACAAGTATAACATTTTGACTTGCAAGGTGATGCCGGTGGGAGATTTCTCCTGTGCTTTGTTGAACAATAAAAAGTTCGCGGCGTGCGCGTTAACTAAAAGCAGAATTCTCCTGTCTCTCATTCCCCTTTAGTAGCCACTGGTATGTACATTGAGCACTATCTGACAAAAAAAGGGCTGCTACGTTACACTCGCTGGGTGTAACCTCCTTAGTTTTAGAAAGGTTTAGCGAGCGTTGAGCCGCAGTGCCATGAATACAATGAACTGGTATATACCATGAACTCGAGGTGGTTAAAGGTGGGCAGTAGACCCGAAGCGCAAGCCGTAAGAAAGTGTGCGTGTGCCACCTCTCGTTCAGTCCTTGGAATGTCCACTGGATGGCGGTGCTTCTATATGGGGAATATATAATGAAAAGATGCGAGATGGTGGTACTTGGAGTGTTGCATAGGTGGACAAACGGACACACAGACACGCACAGATACAAACGCACGAACATAAAGTATGGTTGAGCCCCCCCCCCCCCCATCTAGAAATCACAGCATATCCACAGAGTGAATTATGATGAGTGGGGCTAAGCGTCCGTGCATGCGTCCGATCACGTTCCAGAATGCAGACGGCGCGCGGGTAACACCGACGAGACGCGAGCCAAGAAAACCGAGCGCAAGCGTGTTCAACGCGCCCGCCGCTCTGCTTCGTCCATGCCCCACCAATGATCCGCCACGTACGGCGACTATCCAGGAGACTGAGAGAGGCGCTCGTTCTCCGCGTACCCGGCACAGCCCGCGCAGCAACCAACCAGAGAGTAGCAGTACAGCGCCATCTAAAATATTCTCATTCAACTGCAGTTTGTATGTATACTTCTATGAGGCAGCGCAGTCTATTATACTGTTCGGGAGATACTGCATTCTTTTCTTTCTCGTCTCTTCTCTTGGTTACGCGTGACGCATGACGAGGTTAGACCAAGAGGAGTTTCGCCCCTGAACAAACTGGCTTCGACCCTGGTAACTTCAACGCCTTGCGAACGCTTCTTGGCACGCAGCTAGATGCCGCGAAGCTCCGATCGGTCAACGATGGGGGACTCTTAGAAGCGCTCGAAGCCCCCTGATATCGCATATGCAGCGGCACGCTCACACATATCGGCAAAACACCTGCCGTCTAGTGCGCAAAGACGTGGTGGGATGAAGGCACACGCTCACGAAACCAAACCACGAATAACTGTGTGTGTATTCGATATCCGAAACGACACCGTCCGTGCTCGCGTCCTTGGCACAGGCCGTGGTGGTTGTAGGGGGGCGGGGGGCAGAGGCGGAGGGCATCATGGCCGCTGCTTTCAGTGTCACGGTGAAGGAAGAGTCGTGACTCACCGGGGCTCCCGCGCATTCGGCGCTTTCCCGCGTGACTGCATGCGATGGCTCTAGCCAGCGCTGCTTGCCCGTAGTGGCACATTACAAGTCAGAGGTGTGCAGTTCTGAGATTTTTTTGAGCCTCGCAAGTGCGGACTTTCGGATGTAACAGATCAAACTAGGCTTAGAGAATAATACGCGCGGGAGCACATTGTTAGCGCATCCAGCCTGTCTACTGTTACCGGTTCAATTGTGTCCTCCTGCCACATAGACTAGCACATAACCAGAACAGAGCAGCGGCGCAAAGCCAAATCCCGCCTTTTTCTCATATTCCGCAATGGCGGTATTTTAAGCCAATCAGAGAAGCCCTTCCGTCTGGGCCAATGAGAGTTGACAAGATGGCGAAATCGATAATGTCCAAAACAGTACCAGTTAGGGTAGGGTGGCTAGAGTCACCCTAGTTAGGGTAATATGCAAGTGTTGCCTAAATTTTGTATGTCAGCAAGAGTTAGCTACTTGAGCGATAATGTTAGGTGAAACAGGTATGGTGGCTGAGGTGCATAACATTCGTGAATAATTTCAGCCTAATTGTACCACTTACCTGAGGGCATGCAAAATGCACCATAGAGGACCACAGAACATTACATGCAGCATTTAATGACACTGCCTTGGTATTTATGTTGTTTACCAGAAAGAATACTACTGATACACACTAGTGCCACCAGAGGACGGGTTTTAACCACTCCAGCTGTACCACTAAAAAAAAAGTTTTCTTATGTAGCATATGTATATGCATGCATGAAGATACACAACATGTGAATGAGCACTCTTTCCCTTAAAAAAACATGGCTACGCTCCTGCTGATGATTGTTCATAAATGAATTTGACCACTGTAAGAATATTTATGTTTGAGCTAAATGTGATACCCTGTAGTTGCCCCAAGTCAAGTGTCTGTTTATCATTTTATTACAGCAAGGCACAGAGGAGCGTTCAGTTGCCATCTCCATTCGTGTGCACAAGGCCCTGGAGCTCTCAGATGACAAATCTTACGTCATCACATGCGGCAAGAACAACTTCAGAAATGCCAGGTATGATATAGTCTGATAGTCCCAACGTAACACACATTTCATTCTTTGATATTGATTTGTTTCGAGCTATCCGTCAAATCACCTTTGTTACACAAGAAGCATCCTTTGAGCCATTCAGCATATAAGGGGTGAAACTGGGCCACAAGAATGTTCAGTCTTAAAACCTTATTAACACTGTGCCTAATACAACTCTGCATAGGCAGATTCCATAGCACCAAACACTGACTTCAATTGCTTCCCAGTTTTAAATGCTTATTTTGCTGTCTTGTGTACCTTCAAGCCATATCCATACTAACAAAATATAATTTTCACACTAAAACCCTCCAAGATAAGTAACTAGGACCACTGAGTTCCGCAGCTGAATCACAGTAATCATGACAATTATATTTTTTATAATTATGCAACTGTCAGTCACAACTTGTGCTGTTGGAAGCCTTTTGACATCATTACCAAAGCAGACATTATGTTGTCATAACTAGGGGGAGTTGATGTGGTTCTGACACCCCTCCCTCCTCCCACCCTAAAAAATCGTTTTTCATGCTTTAACATTTTACGAGATACTAAAGTATTTACACAGTTTTCTGGCCAAAGTTTGTCATTATTCACATAAACACTCTTCGAAAAAGATTTCCCTGTGGTAGAGCAAGACAGTGTTAAGTTTTTAAATGTCATATATACTACATGTGGGCTTCAAGAGCTAGCTTCAGAGGATTGTGACAAACTTGGACTATCTGAAGCGTGCAAATAACCTTTCATTTCATCACCACCAGCACTCAATCACCTCGATTAAAAATCCAGATCTCAGCATATGTACACTCAAACCTCGATATAACAAAATATCGGTTATAAGAAAGTGAATAAAAATTAGGCTTGCAATACATTTCGAGTTAGGAATAAACCTTTATAACAAATTTTCTGATATAATGAACTTATTTTGGTGTAAGATGCAACTTTGTTATAATGGGGTTTGAGTGTATATGCTACAACGTGTGATGTTAAGGCTGCCTGTCCCTTGTCACTACAGTTGTGCAACTGCTGTTAACCTGGAATAGGATTTCCTGCAATGATGCACTGTAAAATGGAGGTGCTAACACATTCTACTAACACTGTGACGGCTACAATAATGCCATGCATAACTCAGGCGGATTTTCCTTGTCTTCAGTTTAAATGCAGAGATTGATTAGCAATCTCACACAGCAGGAGACTGAAATATGTATTGACATGCATTCTGTACCAATTTTTTAGTTAACTTTAAGGCATAACATAACCTTAAAGATTAACCATAACAAGTCATGTTAACCCTAACAAATACAACATGGTCATGCAGCAAAACATTTTTGTACTTGTGCCTTAAAAGCAAAACTTTTTTCATTGAAAATTTACACGCACACCTATTAACTGTAATGTTAAAGAAGTATTATGATGTAAAGACATGAAAAAACCCACCAGAAATATTACACAGCACTAATGTTAAAAAACTTTATTGAAAGAATGTATCTGTTGCACACAATCGCTACAGTGGATGCTGTACCTAAACTGGAAGCAAGGGGTGTGCATTTGATGGCCAGATAAGTTAAACAATGCTATAGGCTGCTGCAAGTGTCACAAATTTAAATACGCTCATTACTAATAATAATGTTCACAAAGAAATTAGAAAACCACACCGAAATGCAAGAGTCAACACTAAATTTAAGTAGTTAATATCACATTCATGCTCACACGCTCAAAGCACCTTATTCCCATACGCATGTATTAACAGCCCATGGCATTTTATTTTTTTAGGAACGAGCTGTACAGGGTTTCCCTCGGATTCCTGGAGGAACAGAAGCGAGTGCACGAGCTTGTGATGGGACACCACTACACGCTAAGGGCGAGTGCGCACGGCCCAGGCGGTGAGTACGCACTAGCATTATCGTGTCAGCGCAACGCGTCAACCCAATATGAAGATAAATCCCCGCACTGCCGCAATAATACGATGTCTTGGCACTGCGTCATTTAAAAAAAAAGAGTTGCCTAAACAGGTAAATGCCTATTCTCTTCCTTGCGTTACTATCGCACCATTTTATGATTACACAAATGATTATAAACATTAGGATTATAAACCACCAAGTGATTATGAGAGACGCCGTGATGGAGGACTCAATAAATTTCAATTGCCAGGGGTTCTTCAACGTGCACCCAAATCTGAGTACACAGGCCTACAGCATTTTTGCCTCCATCGAAAATGCAGCCGCCGCATCTGGGATTCGGTACCGAAACCTGCGGGTCAAACTAGACCATCGCGGCAAGGCTTGTTTGCCTACTTCAATAGATGCTTCTGAGCCAAGAGTATTATGGAGGGGAGTGGTGACACTGATTCCATATCATGATACATGCAGCTCCACTTACTAGCGATTCTTAATTAATCTCATACACATCTATATTTTATCAACTTTACAGAAACTGGTGGCATTGTCGTCAGGTCGTGCTTCAGTTTTGCATCCAATACCAGCGAAGAGGAGCTCATCGATGCCAACGGGTTTGTAAATTATACATTACATTAATCAAACTAGCATTTCCACCTTTAACTTACAAAAAATGAAGGGTGTTTCCCTGCATTCATAATGGAGTATAATTATTGTACCCTTTCCCCCATTATTTATTGATTTGTTATGCATGCTAAAATATGCTTTCAACATGTTCCTTACATACACAGTATAAAAGAAAGTAATAAAAGGTACAGCAGCTGGCCAAGCTTATGATATAGAATTTTTCCCCAAGTTTCTCAGAGCCCAGAAACATTGACCCCATGCAGTAACTTAACAGCTAAGATGGTAAAACGATACGAAGGTGCAATGCATTTAGAAAGCAAGAAACAAGAGAGCTATATACATATATATATATATATATATATATATACATATATATTCCGAAAAACAATTAATTATAAAGACCTACAGTATTAGCATAGCGGCAAACACACAGGTGCCTATGTTATGACTTATTTTGTTATGTACACTTGCACAGAATAATAAATATTGTTTTACAACTTTCATATGAAACATTTAAGATATGTATAACACATTTTAGACATCATGTCTTTTGCTGGTGGTTATGATTCTGATTTGCCATCTTAACTTGTAAAACAGAACAGACAAGCAGATTAGTTGGTACTGGATCAAATCCAGTATAGGACGAACGGGTTGGGCAACTGGGAAAACCAAAAAAACATTCGATCACTGATGTCTACATGGGCTGCTTATAGTGCTCTTCTCTTTCTGCTTGTGTGGCCTGTTTGTGCAACAGGTGATAACGTGTAATGTTTCGGCCGTTAATAAAGGGGACACACAGCAAGTGACCTTTTTTCTGTTCTCACTGAGTATGCCACAAAGATCTGGAAAAAATTAATATTTTTTGTGCACGGATACAGCTATATCCAACTGATTACATCTATAGGCACGTGCAAGGTTCCCTTTCAGGGGTTGAGGGCAAAAGTTTATCACAGCGCCCCCTCCCCATTCAGTCAATATATGGGGCACAATTTTCACCCCCCCCCCTCTTATCTTAGATGACTGCATGGCTATGATAACATCAGCCACATTTTGCCTAGAGGAGTCAGTTTGGCTTAGACATAGTGGCTGGGTTTTTTCCTTTGCTCATGGACTCGCCCAGGCATATGTACAGACGGGTCCACTTTTAAAGGGAACACCTGCATGGGTAGCATGTTTAGATTATTTCGCTATCTTACGGAATCATAGCGGCTTAGGTATACAAAAGGTTACTGGTGGTTAAAAGTTCCGACTCCTCTTGACAGACTATTGACTTGCATGAAGATTGGTTTTTAATCCACTTGCTCTTAGAAGGCCGGGAATATTGATGGTGTGCATTCGAGTGTTCCCTTTAACAGTGCACCATACTGTACATAAAGTGCCGGAAGGATATCGCCTTCATTCAATTGAAGAGTCAGCTATCAGTGACAGTATAATTGATCTCTTCACGGTTTCTACAGCTATAATAGTAGTATGGAAGAGATAAGGTTGTAAAGAAAAATGGTTATGTATCAAGGATGACAAGTGCTTCTATATTACACTAATAGGCTGATGGCCAGTATAATGAACATGTATGTAATGAATTACTTGATACATGCATGACAAAGTGAATATAAGATGTGTTGTGCCAGTATCAAATGGTAGAAAATAGACTCTAATAACATACAGAGCATGTCACGAAGCCAGTGTCGGGCATGCATGACTTTGTTACAAAATGTTAAACGACAGATCTGAGCAGTGTAGAGTAACATGCGTCACGCAACGATTTATTGTAAGGCTCTAACGTCTACCACAATCGAAGTGGCATCTGTTGAGAACAAACGCTGATCTCATGCTCAGCATCAAAACAAAAATGTGTTGTCTTTTTTACCATACATGCAGCAACTTTGTCAAGTAATAACCTCACACACCATTCTCTTTCAGGTGTCCCAAAACCACATTCCTGTCGGCATTCAAGTACAACGAGACGTCAGACACGGCAGACGCAACGGTGTCGTCGACATTCCGGTTTCCGGGAAGCAACAAAATCAACATCCAGTGTGACATCGTTCTCTGCCAGTCATCTCTATGTCCAGTGGTGAGGAATGCACTTATTTTAGTTCTTGTACAAACAGATGAACACAGTGAAAGAAGGAGCCATTGATTTCAGAGTTAAATTAAAATTCTGATGTTTTACATGGCGAAACGAAGATGTAAAACCAAGCGGTATGCCGCAGTGGAGGATTCCCGATTAACTTAGACCACCTGGGATTCTTTAACAAACACCTAAATCTAAGTAGATGGGCATTCTGGCAATTCGACCCTATGGAAATAATAACCAATAATAACCTACCAGTGAATGAAGTCCCACGCACACCCTTGTGCTAAACTACCGTGGTGTGTGATGAGATAACAGAGATGTTTATAGCAAACTAGAGTCACTGTGAAAGAAAGTTTGTACTGTATGCTCCGATAGTTCCTGCGAGAAATGACGATAGTTCCATCAGGAACTGCTAGGTGCTTAATACAAAAGCAAGAGCACACACACATCCAACTTTCAATCGATGAATAATTACAAATGACCTTCAAGCAGAATTCTGGTTTGAGCTAGGTAGTACCAATTCATGACAGGACAGTTTTGGCCCTGTTCTTTTGTGGCATGGGTCCTCATGCAATTTGCACCAATAGTATTCTCAGTTATAAATGACCTTTGTTCCATATTTTAAGGTTTCTCAGTGTGATTTTCAAAAACTGCTGCAAGCGTCATTCAAAATTACTTACAAAACATTTGCAGTCGTGCAAATTCAGATTTGCGAACTGCATACAGAAGTAGTGCAAAATCCTTTAATAAGTGCACAAATTATTAAAGTATCTTTTAATAAGTACACAAATCAGTGCATTTTGCAAACACTAGCAAAAGTTTCTCTCAATGTGATCTGCGCATGTCAAGAGATTCACAGAGTTTTTTTAATGAAAACCACCTGTTCACACCAAAGCAAGTACCGAACACCCGCCAGAATGCCTGGATGGAGGACCCAGGTCCCCAAAGCAAGTGGTTTTCACAACAGAGGGAAGTTGCCCAGCAAGCAATCGTAGACAAGTTTAGCCTTGTTCCTGGGCCACATCAGCTGACCACAGCGAGATGCTGATAGAGGGCTTTAACTAGTGCAGCGTGAAGTGTCAAGAGGAATAAAACTGATTAATTAATTAATTGATCAATGGACTGATTGATTGAAGATGCATAGGCACTAGCTCAATTTTACAGGCGAATAATTCTTAAGGCTAAGTGCCCAACCGACATTTAGTTGAAATGGCAAAAGTATCATAGCTACACATAATGTAGTACACAGTGTTCCCATTTTTTTTGTTTTTTTTTGAGAGATGTGGAGCAACTTGCATCCCAGATTATGGGAGGTGGCCAGAGTTGCAGGTTTGTTTGTTTTTTCTCAGTCATCTCATGTTAGTTGCAAAAGTGGGACACTGTCTCAGCAGTTTTTTTAGACTCTTTCTAAAGGAGTCGAGTCTAGCCACCGATGTGGGCGTATGTCAATTACTTAAGTTGTGATGACAAAGGTTACATTAGGGGGAAGTGATTTTAATTGAAAAAAAGAGGGAAGTAAGCCCCGTGACTGTCTCTCGGGGGGGGGGGGGGGGGGAAAATGCCTCAACAGTAGCTCATGAGGGGTGGGTGTATAGAAGGAATCAAAACGATAGGATTAACAGGTAAAGAGATAGAGAGAGAGAAAGGAGAGAGCAAGGCGCAGGGACAGCGAATGACGGAAGTAAGGAGAAGACAGGAAAGATGGACGCGGTTGCAGGAGTCCGAATACGGGGCACCACTGACGAGAGCTTTTGTCAGCGTCAGGAGATGGCGTAGGGCAAGTCCAGTAGGCCAGAGCTACGCTGTCGTCGACTATCGGTGTCAGGAGATGACGTAGGACCAGCCCAGTCGGCCAGAGCTACGCTGATGTCGGAGATCGCGAGGGCACAAACGGTCGGCATGAAATCCAGCGAGCGAGTCAACCACAAAGATTACATTAGAATCTAGTGTGCACATGTTTCAACATAGTTTTGCATACATTCTCCTTTGATGACAAGTCAGTCGTGTGAAACACCCACAGCTTGTATTCTGTAGACTCTCTGGACTGTGCTGAATTGTCGTGACCCCCCCCCCCCCCTCCCCGAAATCCACTGCCAAGGCTGTTACAACAGCCTTTGTACTACCACACGCAGCCCTCGATCTAGGTGACATGAATTTGCAGCGCCAGCAGCACACGTGAGAGCATGACCTTCAAGATCTGTTTCCGCAAATCTTTTGACCAAGCCATTACTGGACATACAATATGTGAACTTCTCAATGACGCCCCAAAACACACAAATGGATGTAAAAGCAGAATTCAAGTCCCCATGTTAACCATTCGCACCACTTCGGCTAATTCCCGACCGAGATATCTCACTCTCAGTCAGCTGAAATGCTAACTGGCACCTAGAACTCACAAACGCACAAACACACCAGAAAATTCTATACCAAACGGCGCACAACAAACACACATGCACAGAAAATGGTGGATTAACTGAAAGAACCAATAAAAAGGTAAGATCGCTTGCCAGCTTAAAGGGCCAGAAAACGGCCTAAGCTCGTCTTTACACCTCCCATGCAAGCTCGTTCATTTGTAGTGAAGGCTGCGGTGATCACATTTAATGAACGTGTACTGCGCTAGCACTCCATTAAAAAAAAAATTCCCATGCCCCCTTCCAGGGTTTGACCAGCCCTCTCGCCTGTCATGTGACAGTTTTGTGATGGGTAACCTGAGGATCACCGAGTTAGTCAATAGATCTTCCCTACTGAGAAGCCGCACCTTGGTCCACCAATAATTTTTTGGTTGTGCAGTTGTCACGCATATGTCGCGACTGGGTAGTAGACATAAAAGAAATGATTGACAATAAGGCTTTTCTATGTATTATTTGGTGCTTTATTATGCCACATAAATTACATAACTTGATTAGGTGAGGAAATAAAACTGACACAGTACGCATGAGTTGAAACAAAAACTCAAGGTTAGGGCTACCGTAAGTTTGCCCATACTTTTATTCGTAGCGTCTGCAGTTCCCGTCATATCGGTGGACTTTGACCTGAACACTTACATTCAGAGCCAGCATCATCTTGAGCGGCTGCTTTTTCAGCATGATTATGCCGTTATCACCAGCAGTTGCTCATAGCAGTCCCTAAACTAAAAAGAAAAAAAAATGGCACGTTTCAACGCGGTGCTCATGTATTGAAACAGAACAATTTGGAACCAAGTGACGGGCATACTTTCATGTTCACCATCTTGAGTTTGGGCCATATTGGCGTAATTTCGACACGAACATGTAGATCAGTGCCGAGATTATCTTAACAGACCAAATTCGTCGAGGCACAACGTGGTTATCTAAACCGATTGTGCATGCAAATCGTTGTTTCAGAAACTTTGATGTTGCATTTGAATTTGAGAGTACTGTACATCATCAAAGAGGGTGGGCATGCGAACACAAATACAGGAAAAGAGAATAATAAAGCAGTACTGACTGTGTATCAAATCAAAGAGAGCACAGGGGAAGCAAAAGATGGTAAGCACAAAGCTTATCTCTCCATGATTAGGTATAATAAAGCCCTATTTCATGTTTTATACTTACCAGCCCAACTTTATATTGTTTGAAGATAATTAGTGTTTTTGCCTTGTTATTTTTTTCCCCAATATACCGGAGGGCAAAAAAGAAAGGTGCAGTTGTGTACAGCTGTATGTGGATAGCAAATGACACACACACATTTTCTCATGCAATGCAGTCCAGTTGTGGGACGTCACCGGATGGTGGAGGTATCAAGTCGCTCCCTCAAATCAAAGAGAGTGATTCTGCTGTGCAGTTGATGGCATCGACATCTGTCTTTGTGGTGGAGCCTGGAGAGAGCTCAAGTGAGTATAGCAGCGTGCAAACACACCATTTCTCATTGCCAAAAGCATCTACGTCGAACAATCGCAAGCCATGTGACAGAAGAACAATGGCTGTGCCTTCTTCTGCTCACTGAATCAGCTTCCAGCTTTCAGACTTGTTGTGCAGTGCACGTCACACACTGTCCAAGTTGGAACACGATATGCACAACAAATACACTCAAACCTCATTATAACAAAGTTGTACCTTACAAGAAAATGAGTTCTTTATATTCGAAAATTTGTTTTGAAGTTTAGTTTGTTCCTAACACTAAATCTGCTATGACTATTTCTCATTTACTTTGTTATAACCAATATTTCATTAAATCTGTATTCATTATATTGTGGTTCGAGTGTACACCATAGAATCTCGACACAGTGGAATTTCATCCATAATGCAACTACTGTTTAGGTTCTCAATGAGAACCTGAGCTGCGCATTCATTTTTCATGTACCACTCCAACTGCCATTGCCTGACGCTGCCACAGAAAACTTCAGAGCTTAGTGGACAAGCCAACACAACAGCAGTGCAGACCATTTTGCAATCTCGTTTGGAAGCAATGAGCGTAACAGTTGAATAACTTCTGATTGTGTTCACTTGTGCCTTATTAGTATTGTTAACAAGGGTAAAGCACTGTAGGATGACATTGGTCGAATAAGGGACAAGCGTTTCCATCCCTAAGTCTACCCTAGTCCGCGCTGCGCTTTCAGCACGTTACCGTCGTCAATAACACAAAACCAACTAACTCAAACACCAACTAACTCGAACTACCTTTCAATTAACAGCTTTGCCAATGACATTAAAGCCTTCTGGACACACATAATCACTGGTAATATATATACAAATGTTTTCTTTTGTGCATTTCAGTACTGCATATTTCATTTATGTACAATCAGAATTGCCATCGAAACTATGTGTAGTTGACTGCTTCACATTCACGCACAAAGTTTGCATGTTTGTGCTCAATATAAGTAAAAGTACACTGCACACGACAGAGAGTACAACTAAACGAAATGCCGACATGAAGGATTGCCACGCAATCTGCCACAGGACCAAACAACATTGCTACAGGAAGCTCTTAGTTGCCTAAGAAGCACATGGTATTCTTTTCAGGCCCACTTGATAGAGTTAACAAATGAATAAATTTCACTACAGTTTTGTTATTAGTATACTACTACTAAGTGCTGTTAGTATATAATACTAACAGCACTTGGCTGTAGCAGTACAATACCTGGGCATGCGAACAGAAGCAGATATATATTTATGTAAAGGCCCTCTTAAGATAATTCAGAACACCGAACAAGCGTTCGCTCCCCGTCGAAGCGTGCCCGAAGAAAAGTAGCAAGACTGACTGCGTGTTTGAGGTCTCTAGAAAGCAGGCACTGCTCCCCAGTGCACCTATTCACTGCTCCCCAGTGCACCTAGGTGCTCCCCAGTGCACCTATTATGCATTTGCATTGCATTGAGACAAAACAGTAGCACTATGTGCCTCTTAGTGCTTTGATAAAGGGGGGCTGGGCGTTCGGTGTCTGTGACAAAGTGTGCGTGCACATGCATCACATGTCTTTGAGCATATGTCTTTGCATCACATGTCATGAGCATTTGTCTTTGTGAATGCGTATTCGCGAGCTTCTATGTTTTTTTCTTGCTTTGTTACGTTGGGCTGTATTCATGATTTCATCGAATTATTTGTGGAGAGTGACAGTGACTAACGCTGGCCAAGGGTGGCGTTCTCATGTGATACAACCACGAGCATATCGGAGAAACGTAGTATGGTTTCAGTTCTTCGTTTTTTACAAAAAAAAAAACTAGTCTTTTTCCAGGTATACATATATATCTAATATGATGCTATTTATTTTGCATTTAGCTTAGGCACACTACCATTGACTATTGTTCTATATAACCTCAGTTCAGAAGATAATGAATTCCTGTGGTCACAAACAATGACACATGATCGAAACGTAGAAATGCTTATTACCAAGCCCCCAAATTTGTAATTGACTGATACGCAAGTTATATGCAAACCATGAAATGTGGTGCGCAAATAAAAAACTCCAGAGTCATACGGAGCTTATTAAAGTATGCATGAAATCAGTCCCACTGCATGAAATTTGGTTTGACAAGCATGCCATCTTATTAAATTTTTTTATAAAATGTTTTATTAGCACTATTGCAGACATGCCTGTAACGAGGGTGGTCATGTAATAATACAAAGTGTCCTCAAATGCAAAACAGACTAGCACGGTTCAAAGAAGGCAGCGTTGCCATTGTAGCCATGCCGTCTTACTTGCACGCAGTCTCCCAGAATGGATGCAGATAACGTGAGAACACGCTGTAAGGAATCGAGAAATTATAGTATTCGTGAATTACTGTGCGTGGTATGCTACAGGACCCTGTCCTGTGCAGTCATTGTTGCCGTATCCCTGCAGAGCACTCAGCATTACTTTTACGAAGCAAAACAACGCTAATCTAGATGCACTATAGGGAGATAAACTTGCTCACTAGGTAGACAGTGCACGCACAGACCTTGTCAGTATTTATCCGCCTGTGCCCTCAGCCAGCGAGCGGTTGCATGTTCGGTGTTCCGAATTATTTTGAACATGCCTGTACTTTTTGCAACTGTTTATAAAGTCGGCCATATTCCTCTGTCAATATTCAAGTGCATCGACGCTGCTACCCTGAGCAGTGAAAGCAATGGCAACCAGAATCGGAAAGGTTTTTTATTTTTCAAACGAATTTGTCGGGGGGTCCGTCAGGCGAAAAGCTGCACCATACAGCTTGAATGTGCATGAAGGCCCTCAAATGGCAGCAGTAACATGAATATCAGCCTATATACATGTTTTAAGAATATAACCAGGAAAAAAAAATCTAGTTACATTCGTATATGCAATAAAAACAACAAATACTTCGGAATATTTCAAGTATCCACAGTGTAGAAGAGAATGAATAGTCAAACAATTATTTTTTCCAATCAAAAGTATCTAAGGACAGATTGATGCCCAAGTGTGATGTGGGCTACTCATCTGTTGCATAACAGTTGTCGTAAAGTAGCGGACAACCATGAAACGACAGGGTTAATTAGGCTTATTGACGAACAATCATGGACTTAAGATATTGCCTCTATAGAAAAGTTCACAAACCGCAGCCATTCAGACATCTACCATGTCTGCACACAACGTAAAACTTTGCCTAGATGCTCTCACTAAGCAGATTATTAGGAACTTGCCGATTCTTTTTTAATTGGCATACTCAGACTACAACAGTCACGTTTGAAGAAACAAGTGCTGGATGAACCTGAAAATGCGAGAAACATATAGCTAAGCATACTGCTTAATAAGAACAAAATGAGCAATATTTTCGACTGACTTAATATTTTTTATATTCCTCATTTCTCTAACAACTGCACTAATGTATGTGCAGAAATGTTCTGAAAATTTTCTTCTCTGCCGCTCATGAGCCCGAAATTGTTGCTACTAACAATACTTATCATGTAACACTGTATTCCCACAACAAAGCAGCAATACTTAGGAAGCATGCAGGAACAAGCACAATCATGCAACATGCGGTCCATAAGATTGTGCTGTTTAAAAAAAAAGAAAGAGGACCTTGTTTCAAGAGAACATGAATAAAAAAAATATACATTACGCTGAGCTACTGTCTTGGCATAGAGTTTTCACAATCGCTCAATTTAAATCCAAAGGAGATTAATCTTGAATTTGCATCCGAAGCAATGGTCATGAAACAAACTCCGGAGTGTACACTCTATAAAAATATCGAGTAAAAAGGGTGTCTTTTTGTCCCACAACAATAATCGTCATCAGGCTAGCATGCGCTTCCTTTCTTGAAAACTCGGCGCTGGCCACTTTCCTATCAAGAATGCAATGTAACCCTGATAATGGGCATGTCAATCATGACCGGAATGTACCGGGCGCGGGGCGATAGCGCAAGGATGGAACGCAATATAGATGATTATTGTTGTGGGACAAAAAGACACCCTTTTTACTCGCTCTTTTTTTAGAGTGTAGCCAGTGGGTGGCACTCTAGGCCCGTGTCCTCTTCCCCCTCCCAGAATTTTTTTCCACCATGCATACATAGTGTGAAATGGCCATCTGCCTGTCCTGCCCTCACTTTGGATCAAGAAGGTGTCCCACCCACCTTGGCAAAAAATTTTGCATACAAACCTGCCTATACTGACCACTCTAACAGATGGGACAGACATGAAAACCAGTCCAGGGAGGCCATGGAGGCTATTGATATTGTATTTGAACAACCAGACTGCTCTCCCATGTGACCTACCCTTGCCCTCCTCTTTGATTTTTTCCATTTCCAACAACAGCATTTCGATGGCTGATAGTTCAATGGAGGAAAATCAGTGCTAGCAACATGTAAACCTGGTTCGAGCATGAAAGTTAGCGATTTAAGGCGCTTTGTACACATTTGCGCACAGAACTTGCTTTTGGAAGTTGAAAGTTTTTCAAGTGGCAAAGACAGAGCTAGATACATTTAGCGCCAGTTGAATTGAACCTCCTGCATGATAAACATGCTTTCATTTCGGCATTACTTTTTTGTGTGTGTTACGAAGACAGAGCTATGACCACTTTCGTATGACCACTTCACTGAAGACACTGGCTCATTCGATGAGCAGTTCGGATAGCCGCTCTGTGCGAGCCGTGTCAAAAGTGTAATTCATGTTTGCTCGAAACGAATGTAACCAATAGCTAAAATTCTCTATTTTAGGCCTAGGATATTCTACTTATGCAAAAACAAAACATTGTTGACTCTGAGATAAACGCGCTTTATGGTATTGCTGTTAAAGTAGAATTAATTACTGGAAAATGCTCAGATTAATGTGTTATGACATCACTTTCGCAGTAACGGAGTATCGGTGAAAATTAGCATGAGAAAAGTTGGCAAATTCACTGACAGTTATTCAGAAGCTACACTCGAAAGGCATCTAGGCAAAACATTAAAGCTTTTTCTCTTTCACTTTATCACGAATGACCAAGAACGAAATCAAGTATTTCAAGATAACATCTAAGCAGGCTAAACAAACAGAGTGTCACTTAAAAAAAAAAAAAAGGTACCCATTGTGAGATATTGCTCAAAGTGTATTGGTCTTACTGGATTAACCATAAAGAGCCTCCAAAAGCCCATGCATTCCATGATGAACTTCTAGAAAGCATGCCAGGTATGTGATACCTTTTTTTTCCTGCCTTCGCAGTGTCAGCACCCTTGCGGGAGTGCACGGAGTGGCGCTTCCCATGGCTCATCGGCCTCTGCATCTGCCTGGCCATCCTGCTGCTCGTCATGCTCATTAGTCAACATCTTCCTCTGCTCCTCGTTAACCTGCACATGCACGAAGACAGAGGTATGTGTCGAGGTGGTTAAGGACGGCCATTTGCGCTCGTCAACAGGATTATTGTGCGAGCTAGTCTACGTAGTTCGAACCGCCAACATGCATGTGAAGTTCTTTGTTTTACAAGATGCACATGTTGTTCGAACCATCATGTGGTCCATGAAGTTCACACCATCAACACCTTTGTTGACGGTTTGAACACTTGTGTTCTCCGTCATTTTTTTACTAAGCGCACGTCATTCAAACCAGTATATAGTCCGTGTGCACAGTCATCCTTGTCCTTCAAACTTCAACACCCATGTCAAGTTCTTCATCAGTTTTAAATAACACACACACACATAGGTAATAGGGTCTTTAGTAGTGCCAGTTTCAGTAGATGATAAATACATAAATATGGTACGGTTGTGGTGGGCATGTAGTGAGCAAGATCCCTATTAAATGTCACTTAGATAAGTTCATCACATTACCACAGGCAGCAAACATGTTTTTAAGAAAGCTGCAAGTAATCCACTACAGTACGGTGTTTTTTTACTTACCGTATGGTAAACCAGTACTAATACACTGCGGTGTTGTAAAATACACAGCGAGACGCTAGGTTAGGCACTGTCAGAAGCTGTCCTGTACATTAAATATATTAAAAAAATGAAACTTCATCAAAATTGCCTTTTATATATGTTTTCACGCTCTGCCCAATAAACTCAGGTAGAAGTTAGCACTCGCATTCTTGTCTTTTTTTTGTTGTTCCAAGCTCGCGCTATAACAATCGAATCATGAAATACTGTTTACAAAACAAAAATATTGTTCAAAACCCTAATCTCAGGCACAGATGCCTGGAAGTTGCACTGGCACGTTTGTCTTCGTGTGTCCTGGGGAATTCCTGAGGTAAACTTGTGGTGTTTTGTTGCGCTGCTAGAGCTCTAATCTCGGAGGCCATGTTGAAAATAAGCGCGCGGATGAACTTCACAATGGTGCTGACTCGGGCTAGTTGGTTATTTGTGATCGTGAAAATAACAGCACAAAAGGCGATGAACTAACACACAGCAACAAACGAGCACTAAAATCAGCGTTTGTTTGTTTCCGTGTATTAGTCTGTCGTCTTTTGCACTGTTATTTTCACCATAATACGGATGACATCTGCAACACCAGGTTCTGCAACTGTACCAGTTGCTTGAGAGGTAATTTTCTGCTCTTTTATTGAACTCATTAGGCTAATATTCATTAACTATTCTGATGGCTATATGGCCATCATATTAAGCAAATTTATGCTATATTATTGTATGTATACATTGCAACTCTTACCTTGAACCAGACCCATTCATTTTGCACCAGCATTACCTTTTACGCGACTTTTTCTGATTATTCGGGAAACCAGAAGTGCTTGGAATAAAATAAAGAGTCAATCAGTGCTCATGCGTCAGAAAACATGTTCCTACATTTTGTGTTAAGCTACAGCTCTGTACCTTCCTTGATGACTAGGTCGAAGAGAAGGAACCATCCGAGATGGAGGACTACGACCCCTACAAGGGAAGCTGGGTGCCGAGCTCCCAGTACGGATCGCGGACGTCGCTCAACAAACCGGGTTATACCTCGGGCGGCTCCACCCTTAACTCCGCCCGGTCAGTGAGCAACGGGAGCGACCACTACACGATCGTCCACTCCAGGCCCAACAGCCGCTACTCGCACCACTCCAGCAAAGAGCCGCTCCACCGGAACGGTCCGGGATCGCATCTCTCCAACGGACACTACAACTCCAGGATATGATCGCCCCCTTCCGTTGGACAATGCAAAATGACTGACGTGTGCATTTTTATTGTGCTTCCGAGTGAATCTTGTTTAGTTTTTTAATACTATTAGCTTTTTTTTTAAAGAGTTGACACGATTGTGGACAGCTACTGTATGTGTGGCAGCTCGTGAAATCGCTACTTGCGACTGCTTCAATGTGAAATGCTATATTACTTAATGACTAATGATGCAGGCTTTACACAGACAGTCTTGGTAAGAGCCAGATATTTTTCATTCCCGTGTTCTGCGCCTTCAACTACGTTCTTGGATGAACATCTAGAAAGCCAAAAACTAAACTCTGTGCCTTGTTATACTTTACGCATTTGCCTTGCAAATACAAATCAGAATGTGCAGCGCTCTGTAGCAAGGAAAAGCTGCTTTGTCTCCTTGTTATGAATGTTGTTAACTTTTTTCTATATTATAAGATGCTCTTGACACTACTTTTCAAGACATAAATAGAGCAAAATAATAAGTGAAAAATTCAAAAGTAATCGAGATCACTTTCTTGGGCCACAGGGTAATCCACCTATAAACACTTTCACACTGTTAAAATATTCATTGGCAAACGTTGCCAAGCGGAATTGCCTCCGAGATATTAATTCCAGCATGGCGATCAGTACACCATGTTACGTTCCTCATACTTCCAAAAAGTAACAATTGTTATACAACAATGATTCATGCCTGAAGTTAGGAAAACTGCAGATGACTACTTTTTACGAGAGCATCCAAGTTCTACATACGTGTACAATGAAGGAGAAAATGTGTGCTAACAAGAAAACGAACCACTTTTCCTCTATAACACAGCAGCTGTAGTATATTAGCTGCAAATAAAAAGTGAAGTAAGGAGAATTTGAAGTCTTCAAGACAGAGAAGGCGTAAGCAAAGTGCCTATTCATCAAAATGCAAAGTAACAGAGACTGTAACATTGTTCAAAGCCTGCATCATGTTTGTGTGGTCACCGTCCCAAGTGAAATGAAGTCAAGTGCTGTACAAACCACACATTTGATCGTTCCACGTACAAGGCAGCACACAAAGCTCCGCCTCTGCCTTTACATCGTTGCGTTGTTCATATTTTTCGAAACACCTAGTCCTCACTCAACGCTTCATGTAGAGTTTGTGCTGCTCATCCTTACAAGACTACTTTTTTTCTCGCATAGATTGTATTTTTTTAAACTGTTTCTCGGGCAACTGCAGCTTTTCTCGTCATTATCTATCGCCATGCCGTCAAAATTTCATAAAAATGGCAGCGTAGAAAACTAAACGCAGATGACGACATTCCATGATTTGCCTTCGAAAGCGACGCAGTCCTCTATTAATTTATTTAGCGTGCATGTGAGATTCCTTCCAAATGACACATTTTATTTTGTTAACCATCAAGCTCTTGCACATCCTGCATCCTCTTTCACAGTTATAACTCTGCTAAGGCATTTCAAAAGGTGCGTAAAAAGAATCGGTCAACAATCTTTCTTACTGTAGGGCATATGCACAGCTCTGATGTGCCTTAGCTGTTCCCAAAGCTCTCTGACAATTTCTTCATTACATATACACATATATTTGAAATGGACATACTATACTTGTATCTTTTGTGATGAAAAAAAAAGAACTAGCTACAAAAGACTAGCTACAAAAGAGGTCGTTTCACTCCACTGTATGGCCTATTTAAAAATGTAAATGCATCTAATTCCAACAAAATCATAACTCTTTGAGGGTGATTTGAGCCACATTAAGGGCGCTGCCCATCATGCGGAGCATTTCGTTTATGAGTAATACAGTGATGCATGGGTTTGCAAAATGAGCACAAGTTAAACTGGCTTGTACATGCATAGTGATAAGTGACCAATAAAAAACTGAAAAGCCATGAGGGTAATGGGAGTGAAATGGCACAGCGTAGTTACAAAAAAGACAAAAAGAAATACTAAAAGAAGTTTGGCTTCAGCATCCCCACCCCGAAGCACGTTCATATGAATATACTGCATGACATCACTAAGAAGGCCAACAAGGTGTGTCCCTAAGGCGACCCTGGAGCTAACTGTATGCAATTGAAGTGTTTGCAAACTACAAAATATTTTCGAAAAACCACGCTCTGATTGCAGGGAAAACCTGGGGTTGATTATTTCTAATGCACGAGTCAAAATGAGAACATCCTATGAATTTTTGTTCCTTATCCTTCTACGATTCACTTACATGCACAAAGCTCAATTAGCCTGCTCATGTTGGAAATACATTCAGTCTCATATGCAACTGATGCACTGAGCCCAAGTATACCTAAATACAACCAAATTCAAGCAAAAGTTACAAAAAAAAAATTTTTAATCTGTGACAACCATCAGTTCATTTCAGTACTGTTGATTTTCTCGCATAGGAGTTTGCCGAGTGTCAGGCTTTCAATCTTCACGTCCAAACATCCCTCAACTTAATTACCACAATGTGCAGTGTTATGTGAGCAACCTTGAAGACATATTTTCATACATTCTTGCTCGTTCAGGTTTCGGCTGGCAGTGAGACAAACCATCTAATTACTCTCATCCCGATATATGCGCTTGAGTTAATGGCTGCTGTTTGAGAAATCTTTGGACAAAAAAAAAGAGAGTTTTATATCTACGTATATATATATATATTTTCTGTTGTGCGTGTCTGATGTCAATTGATATTGTGTCACAATGTGCCATGACTTGTTGCACGGTGCTGGTGAAACAGCGCTACGTTCAACGCTATTTTTTACTAACACTTTCCACAACGATGACCCTATCTTTGTCTAAGGTTGTGAATGTTTGAAGCTTGAAGGAAACTACAACAGAACCATTCTATTGAATTGTTTCTCACATTTTGTGCATGTTGTGAGAGATCATTATAAAAAGACTTTCAGCTGATTATGAAAGGTGTAATAAGCAACGAAAAACAAAACGCTACAAAAATAATACGTTCAATGTGTCGCAAAGACGATTACATCGACAGTGTCACAGTGTTGGTGCAGAAAGGTGAGTCAATAATACTTTTCACATTTGAGGCCCTTATAGTGTTCTATAGAACAGAAGAAGCACCTTTGAAGAATGTAGAAAATAATCATTTCTGTTGTCTTTTTTTTTTGCATTGTTCGAAGCTGTTCAGTTCCTCTTGTGAACACAGATGTCCATTTTGCTAATTATTAGCTGTGTATATTAGTCGATTTGGAAGTTTTGAAATAGCTGCTTTAATTGACGGCGACGAATGAATGTTTACTGGAAAAGAAAAAGTGATCATATATTCCTTTTACATGGCACGTTCTGCTCACAAAAATAATGCCAGCCCTGAAACCTAACTGTCGTCGCTCAAGAAAGCCAGAAAAAATTCACACTGGCTTTGTGCCTTGCCGTAACATTTCTTCATCGTCATGCGTGTGTGCATGTAATGCCTTCTTGTGTTTGTGCAGCAGCATGTGTAAATATACCTTCTTTTTTTCCAAATGTGTACATTAAAAAGAAGTCTTGTTTCAGTTGCCAGTTCACGTTTGATTTCTTTCCAACCTGCCTACCAGCTGCTCTGCCACTATCAGTCAGAAAAGGCGGTGATAGTGAAAGTGGCTATCCAGGTAGGCATTCTCTGTGTCTCATTCCAGGTAAGGTTGCCAGGTCAAAAAGGCCTAAAATAGCCAAGAAACTTGAAAGATAGCTACAAACTAACCAACTTGAGATTAGCGCAACAAAAGTAGCCTAAAGTAGCCACGCAAATATGAAAGACTTACAGCATGCTTTATTAAAGTGTTTAATGGAATGACTTAATAGAGAACCTTCCGGTGGATATGTCTCAATATCATAACTCGACGTAATAAAGCGCATGTTGCCTTCAGCAGTTATATCGTGCAGGATGACAAAATTTCTCATCCTGCTGCGGAAATAACGCTACTTTCACGCGTACTCCGTGCGTTCTCCGAAAATGACTTAAAGTACAGGCCTCATAATGATAATAAAAATGAGTAATGCATGAGTGTTCTCAAAATCCCACTTACTTGCGTTGAAGCGCAAATTGTAGACATTTTTGCAACCATTTCTTGTGCCATAACCAATACCGAGTAGTTGATATTTCCAAGTTGCAGTCCATACCTAATTATAAAAAATAAAACAGCCAGTTCATCGGATATCTCATTTCCAAAGAGGATGAATGCGAGGCTTGCTGGATATGGAGCACTTTAAATTGTCTAGTGCACTTGCAATTTGATGTCACGGTCATGAACAGGTGGTCTGCAAAATGAGGCCCTATACAACAGTTTTTCTCCAAGTTTCAGCCACGCATCCAATGGTCCTTTCTTTTGTGTTACGTAAGTGCCAAAACACACATTGGTGCCACGTTTGGTCACTTCATAAGTTTTTCTCCAAGTTTCAGCCACGCATCCAATGGTCCTTTCTTTTGTGTTACGTAAGTGCCAAAACACACATTGGTGCCACGTTTCGTCACTTCATACTTGAAAGCCTACAACAGCGATGTCACTAGATAATTATAATTTAGTTTCACTCAAGAAAAGAATAAAGTGGCTAGGAAATAGCCAAGACTTTTATGCCACCACAGGGCAAAAAAAAATAGCCATTTTGGTACATTGTAGACAAACCTGGCAACCCTGATTCCAGGCATTTTGAGAGATATACGCTGAAGCCTCGTTATAACAAATTTGCATCTTGCAGCAAAATAAATTCGTTGTATCCAAATTCATCATAAAGGTATATTCTTGACACTATATCTAATACAAGGCTATTTTGAATTTACTTCATTAAAACTAATGTTTCGTTATATCTGGGTTCTTTATATCGATGTGTGAGTGTAGTTACATTTTATCTCATTAAGCTTCAGACCTCACGTAATTTCAAAAAATGTGCAACCGATGGAGAAACTGAATCTGCGTCTTTCAGCACAGCAGCCCAATGCTGTAAGTACTGCAAGGAACACAGTGTAAAGAGCAACACACACATAGCATAGTTTGTCACCTTCCTTTGTCTCCTATTTTTATTACACTGTGTTCCTCCTAATGTTTTACCAACATGCCCAAGCCTTCACCCTAAGTCACTGTAACTATTGGTCTACAACCGTGTGCCCCCTCCTTATGTGCCAAAACCAACTATTGGCGAGGCATCATCGATACTAAAGAAAGGCATAAATCAAGCAAGAACAAAAACCACATTCAGATGACAGCATAAACAGCACGTTCTTCATGTTGTAAAAATGATTAAATAGAATGCAAATTAGCACAAAGCGAGACTAAGAAGCCACAGCACATGTGCATGTTCTGTGGCCTTCTTCATCTTGTCTCGCATTATTTTGCATTCTCTTCTTTAATGATCATGATATACCGATTTGCCCACCAGTCTCTTATTTTATGGTGTCAGTTCTGTGTTCTTTTTGTTTCAGCTTAGCATGCATTTTTAGAAGCCACTAAGAACGAACTCGGTCAATTACACGTTCTGAACCAACTAGTTTAGTGAAATGTCTACATATTTCACTCTTTGCTAGTTTCTCATGTTCTGCTAACTGAAACCAGTTGCAACTGGAATCAACTGGGACCAGTTAGTTCCCAACTAGGACCAGCTAATACCAGTTATTACTAGTAGAAACCAGTGGATTTTCAGTTGCACATTTTTACCTCTGTTTCCTTCCATGACAGCTCACATTCCAGAATGCTATGCTAAACTGTCATTTCCGGGATAGGCCCTCTTCCCCCAGACATTAGACAAATTAAGAATAGTGATCCTCCAATTAATCCTTATGGCAATTAAAGATGTCTTTGTACTCCCTCTCTTGCCAAGCATTCATTGTCAGTGATCATAACTGAATTTGTCACAAGTGGTCGTTCCCCAACCAACTACACTCAAACCTCAATATAACGAATCCGTATATAATGAAATATCAATTATAAAAAGTAAAAAAAATAGCTTTGCAATGAATATAGTTATACTGACAGTAGCACAACAAGGTACAAGGGAATAACCATTATGACAAATAAACCTTTATAACAAGTTTTTGGATATAACAAACTTATATTTTTGTAAGATGCTGCTTTGTTATAATGGGGTTTGAGTGTAGTCCAAACAAGCAAGCTTACACTAGTTTCTTGCTTCTGCAAGAGACACTGCTTAGCCGTTAAACGTGACCTTTCAGTGCGAGCCGGCCCAGAAGCTACTGCACTTATGTACTCTTGCAGAACAGGAAGACAAAAATATGGCAAAAGTTTCAGTAATGTTCAAGAAAACAACAGCTAGATTTCAAAGTGAAAGTCTAGGCTCCCAACAGCACATAGTAGGCAAATATTTGACCCAGGCGTTATGAGAATGCTGCTTTGGCAGTGATGTTCGAAGTGGTTTTGGCTATTCCACACTTCTGCCTAACAGACTAGTTTTTCTATGTAAAACAATTTGAGTGCCTTCTTTCGGCTAAGATATGCCACATGTTGTTTTCCAGAGGGACTACCCAAGACAGGTTGCTTTGAGCCCGGTTGATGAGTGCTCAGGCTTGGGTCTGAGTGGCTCACAAACTACACAAACTATCTCCAGCGCATGACTGTTGAGCCCCCCAGCGAGAACTTCACTTTTTCAAAGCACATCAGTGCTTCTTTAGCTGAAACTTTTGGTACTTCTTCTAAAAGGGTTACTTCTTTCTCCTCTTCTTTCTGGGGTATAGGACACTTGCTACAATCCCTACTATAGACAGAGTGACAGATGTGTCAACGTGATAGTCCCAGGTGACATAGTCCCCAAAACACAAAGTGCTGTCTATACCCAGTCTTTCCAACAATTTCTCTATAATATGACAGGAAAGCCATTGAATTGTGCTAAAAAATATGTTAGTATAACTGTAACATGCATTGCAATAGTTTTGTTAAACTGAAATGCATTAGTTTTGGATCCAATGACACCTGGTGGGGGATTTTAAAAAGTTTGTACAACATATTTGTTTGACTGACGTTCATTTAAGTGATCACTGCATCAGGTACTTAGGCAGTATGTAAAGCCTTAAGTATGCATAATTATTGGTTTTGTTATATTGCACACCAAGATGGCGTCACTAATAAATGCAATTCCCTGTTGTCCTTCAAAGTTTTTCAAAGTTGAAACTCACTAGTAGCAAACCTACACAAATAAATTGGGGTAGCCCATATTTTTTTTAATCCAGTGAGATACTGTGCCGAACTTCTTTTGAAACCTCTAGCTAACAGGCTGGCATGGACTTCATGACGCACCCAATGCAATGGTTTCTAAGGTTTCTAACACTCCACTTTGGTTCAACCAACAAATTTGTCATGAAATAACTGCCCATATTTGCTTACCTTACCTTCTTTCACAACAAATGATTAACAACCAGCTCAGCACCCCGTCATTTCAATTTGGTTATTCACCGGGCTAATTTTGCACTGACATAAGTCGCAAGCTCAGAGCACTTCAAGGAAGTGTTGAGGTTACTTGAACAGTGAAAATCTATGACAGTCATTATTACAGTCTTAAAGAAGCCATGCGTCATTCCAGAGAGGAATACTAATCATCAACCAAGAAATCAGCAGTCCTACTCCTGATTTGCACTCAGATCTTGCTGATGCAGGCAAACAAGTGTACAGCCACGACCACGTTTGTGCAGAGCGCGCAAGCAGCCGGTTATTGCTGTGCGACCCCTTGAGGCAGTTTCAAGCTCTGACATGGTGTGTCAGGAGCATACGTGGCCTAGTAGTCAGGCTGACCACATCAGAGCCCGAAACTGTCACAAGGTGTCACCCTGCAGACCGAAAACTGGTTGCTCGCCTGCTCTTTACAGCCGTGGCCGCAGCTGTTTTTTGAACTCTCACGTGTGAACCGCAGCAACGTGACAATAGATCTCAATGGTGCACTGTCGTCTCTTATGGAAGGGAACACACAAGCATGCGGCCTGCACTCGGAGGCGGCTAGCTGCAGCAGCATCGCCTCACGGCTAGAGGAAGCAGATCGGCATTCGGTGTCATCGATTGACAGTTAAAATAGCGAGTCACGTTCGTTGGACCAGCGCTGCTAGATTACGTTGCCGCTTGAGTCTCGCAGCAGGTGATGTCGGCAAAAGCGAACATGCCTTTTTAAGCTGTCTGTTGATTGATCAGTAGGCAGCCACAGAGCACAGGCTACATGCTCATGTGTTCCCTTTTATAAAGGATGGCAGTGTACAGCGGTTACGGTGTTCAGCTGCTGACCCAGAGGTCATGGGTTTAATCTTGCCCACGGTGGTCACATTTTGATAGGGGCGAAAACCAGCTGGTCAAAATTATCCTTAGACCTCCGCTATGATGAGCCTTACATTAATATAGCGGGTTATGGACATAAAATCACCGACATTATGTACCTCAAAACTCAATTATGACACGAGTTAAAACACTTGAACAGCATTAAATAAGGACGAAAATGATTTTAACAATGCACCACAGGTGCTCTTTTCTCTAAAGGAGCACAATCAAGATCGTGCTCTTATGCATTTCATCAAATTCGCGAGAGGTTAATGCGAATGAATCTAATTTTAAAGCGATCCATACAAGGAAGGCGCGCTATGGTGGTCTGAGAATAGACCATTCTCAAGCACACCAGCACCACCAAAGGGCGCGCAAGCGCTCACGGGATAAGTTGGTACGCCGGGCAGCTGCGCGATGAGTGCTCGGGCCTCACGCTTTACTTTTGCGCTTGTGCTGTTCCAGGACTTCTTAGACACCGTGAATTTGGCAAGGTGCAACATAGTGCTGCGTAATTCAATCACGAACAGCAGTGTTTAGCTGTGAGGGCCTCTCGACTAGTTCCGTTGGTTGTTTCACTCAGTGTAGGATCTGTTGAGCAATTCATAAACGTCACCCTTTTGTTTTTCTCTACACCAGTGCTCTACAACAAAAAATGAAACAAAAAGAAGAGACAACTCGGTAGCCAATGAGGCACACCAGTGGTCTTAGATTTGCAGATGCATTCATAACCAATGTTTGTTGTCATTGTCAACGAGTAGAATTTGAGGTTCCAATTTTTGATGAGTACTGTAGGAAATACAGTCGACATTTAATAAAATAAGACCCATTCAAACAACAGTGTGCACGTTGCTCACACCATATATGTAATGACGATAAGTGTATACTAACCTGCATTGACACTAGTTGAAATAATACTTAGGGAAAAAAAAAGCAGAAAATGAAAGCCCGGGAATACACGCACCACCTAGTGCTTCATTACAACTGAAAGTTAGACGCATGAAACAAAAAATTTACAAAAATGGGGGTGCAGCGTGCGTGTTATAAAGAGGCACAAAAAATCAAACAACTGCCTGTTTGCATTCGATTAATACAGTTGAATTACTTGTCTTGTAACAACCGTGAAGGTCAACTTGCACAAAGTGTGTCGTTATTTGTGACATGATATGCTTACGCGATTTCTCAATTTGTCCGATTAGGTTGATGGTAGAAAACTGCTGTACGTGGTTTAGAAGACTGAATCACATTTGCATGACTGACATAGCGGGGCGAGATAAGACGACTCCATTAAATGAATTATGATGCTCACTGGAGTGCATATTAACACATCGAGCAGTGTAGCCGATGTGGGCAAAAAAAAAGAGAGAGAAATTTGTGCTTACCTACTGCGCAATAAGTGGCAAAACAACTGACATGACTCTGATCGATTTTTCGTTGAGTTACAGCAGAGTAGTAATACTAATAACATCTGGCATTCCTAATGTCTCAAATCATAGTTGAGGGCTTCGGACAATCTGGTGTTTTGTAACATGCACCTGACATCGTACAGTACACGAGCTTCTACCATATCGCCTCCACCGAACGTGACTGCCATGGCAGGGATCGAATTCAAGACCTACGGGTCAGCCGCGGAGCACCGTTGCCACTGTTGCACCACAGTAGACCTCACTGCCGACCCTTGGATCTCTTGTGCACAAGGGAACAAATGCGACAATTCTCATTTGAGGTGGCAAACCCAACCCTCCTCTCCCCCCCCCCCCCACTTCATTATTCACGGGTGAAGTACGTCGATATTTATCTTTCTTTGCCATGTGAACCAATTTTCGCAAACTGATGCAACAATATGCAGGATTCTGGCCTCTTTGAGACGATCGATCTGCAGCTGAAAACTACTACTAATCCCATGTGAGCAAGTTTTTTTCCCCCCGGATCCCATGCATAGCATGACATCACAATTTTTCATGTAACAATATTTGAATATTGCACCAACGCAAATTGAATACTGCAATTGAATATTGAGATTGAATATTGCATGACGAAAACACCGCTTTCGGTGAACCCACAGTGAAACTTTAAAGCATGTACCAAGAAACTGCAAATTATCAGAGCAAAGAACCTCACAAATGCATTCTAATCCCATTCCTCTTTGTTTAAACGTGTTTAGAATGTGCTCACTTCTTTGTAAAGCACGTGACTTGTGAAATAAAACAATAATCTATGTACTTGAATACTGTAGAACATCTCTGCAGTTTGGCTTCACCCCATCACGAACAATTAATTCATTGTTCAACTTAGTAACAAGTAATCACTGAATAATTATGAATTCAATGTTCTAGCTTCCATTGCTCACGATGGCACGCTTTGACAGCATGTATCGGCACTTCATAATTTATTCCCATTCCCCTAACTACTACATCCTGTGCACGTCCACTTGGTTATAGCGACACTGACTGCATATTTCCTTTCGAATTTGATGCGTCAGGTGTGTTCAGACATGTATAGTATTTTGGACGGAATAATAGTCAAAGTGTGTGGGGATGCCTTTCATTTTTTTTTTCATTTGGTGCTCCCACGGCGCCAACCAGCAGCGCGCGACGGAAACCAGCCAGCGCGCTTGACCACTTGACCAGTGGCTTGACCAGTATCGACGTACACACTTCACCCATAGTGCTTCGAGCACCCGCGGGGGGCTCTGGGATTGCTGGAAAATGGCCTATTATGGTACCCCGACTGCTGACCTGAAGGTCGCGGGATCGAATCTCGGCAGCAGCGGTAGCATTTTAAGTGGAGGTCAAAATGCTTGAGACCCGAGTGTTTAGATTTAAGTGCACTTTAAAGACCGTGGGTGGTCGAAATTCCCAGAGCACTACAGTACGGCATCTCGCGTCGTTAGACCTCTATAATTAAAAATAAATAAATAAGGAAGAAGTTTAGCGCAAGATGTAGGTTTAAAGTAATGAAAGGTTGCCGAACAAGGTACGTCGCGGTAGCTAACCTTTCGTTGAATCACAACACTTAAGATGCGAGGTAGAGGCACCGGAAATGTTTTGCTGAAGCCAACGTTTATAAAGCGCGACTTGCCATTATCAGGTGTTTATAAGTAGTCCTGAATAAGACAAGTTTTATACCTGACAGTGAACACCAGCTTCTTCACGTTCGCGAAGGATTAATCGTACTTTTAACAAGTTCAGGACTTGTAAAGCGAAACGACGTACTGGAGTTTCCTCTGCAAAAACAAACGACACACTCGCCAGGCCGGCTCGCAGTCATGATGGTGGTGTAACGCAACATGAATTCAAGATTTTAGCAATCTAATTTAGCATGCAACTAGCGGCAACGAAGTCATTACTTACAAAATGCCACTGACACTTCGGGACCAGAACGATGCAATCATGCAAATTTGGCGCGAAGAACCAACCGCCAATGTTATTTCGACGTCTTCCTTTACCTACACGTTGAAATAACCAAAACTACCACCAGAGTGTGTTCAGAAACATTTTTGCGTAATTTTTTAGTATTAAAATACTTTATATTTAACACAACATAACAAAACGTCTTGAGAAAATAAGCATAATAAGTTGTAGTAAGCTAGATTAGTAGATATCGTCCTCTTTGCGCAACTTGCGACGTTTGCGAAAGCATTTTTTTTGCGTTTTTTATGACAATGAGAAGGCACCTTGCAATAACTAAATGTTATTTATAGCGTTATCACTGATAGATTACGTTTAAGTCAGGTTTTAAGACCTAATTGAGTGTAATGCGTTTCGGGCACCCGCGTGTTCGTCTGGAATCCCTGCGCCCGCCGCGAGCGCCAGTCGGCGTCGCTCAAAATGGCGGAGCCATCGGCCGACGGTTCGATGGTCGTCGTGCTCAACAACGGCGATGCCGCTGCCGCACCGGCTTCGGCAGCGTCGGCCGCTGTTACGACGACGACTACAAGCACGACAAACTCCGTGTCGAACGACAAAGAGGATGAGGACGGCGATGATCCGTTCAGCGGGCTCGACAAGAGCTCGCTGCTCGCCGTGCTCAAGTTTCTCAAGAAGAACAAGCTCCAGGAGACCGAGCTGATCCTGCGCAAGGAGGCCAAGCTCCTTAACGACCTGCAGGACGACTCGGCGGCGGCCCCCACCACCGGCTCCGACGTCACCAGCGTCCTCTCGACCTACAAGAGCGAGGGCGATCCCGACATCTACGAGGACAGCTACACCAGTTTCAAACGGTTCGTGGAGGCATCGCTCGATTCGTACCGTCACGAGCTGGCCATGGTCCTGTACCCGGCCTTCGTGCACATGTACCTGGAGCTGGTCTACAACGAGCACGAACGGCAGGCGCTCAAGTTCATGGAGCGGTTCGGGCCCGAGCAGGAAGAGTACTACCAGGAGGACGTCAAGCGGCTCGGCTGCCTCACCAAGAAGGATCACATGAAGGGCAACGAATTCATGGACAACTTCAGGTCGGGTCAGTTCACGGTGCGCATGTCTCGCGACACGTACAACTTTCTCAAGCGATACCTGCAGGACAAGAAAAACTCGGTGCTGCAGAACATCGTCCAGGAGCACCTCTACCTGGACGTGTACGAAGGGATCGCACGGGCCAAGGCGCAGTTGGACGCGACGGCGGGCGCCTTCCTGGGCGAAGCGGCGCGTCAGGCGAACAAGGTCAAGGTCTACTACGGCCTCCTCAAGGAGCCCGAGCTGACGATACCGCTGGACGAGGACGACGAAGGCGGGGATGGCGAGGGAGGTGACAAGCCAAAGAAAAAGAAGCCAAAGAAAGACACGCTGCTCTCTAAGAAGGCACGCAACGACCCCAACGCGCCGCCCAACAGCCGGATCCCGCTGCCCGAGCTTCGCGACGCCGACAAGATGGACAAGGTGAGCGCCATGAAGGAGGCCCTGAAGAGGGTAAGACTCGGACCCGAAAGTCTTCCCTCCATCTGCTTCTACACCTTCCTCAACTCGTACCGGGGCGTCACAGTGGCTGAAATCTCCGAGGACAGCACCTTACTGGCCGCTGGCTTCGGCGACTCCTCCATTAGGGTGTGGACCCTGACCCCGCACAAGCTCAAGGGCATGAAGTCTGCGCACGAGCTCGAGACCATCGACAAGGATGCCGAGGACGTCCTCTACCGGATGATGGACGACCGCAGCGGCGTCGACGTGCGCCACCTGCTGGGCCACAGCGGCCCCGTGACGGCGGTGAGCTTCAGCCCAGACCATTTGTTCCTGCTGTCCTCGTCGGAGGACTCCACCATCCGGTTGTGGAGCCTGTTGACGTGGACAAACGTGGTCTGCTACCGGGGTCACTGCTTCCCCGTCTGGGACGTGCGGTTCAGCCCGCACGGCTACTACTTCGCCTCGTCCGGCCACGACCGGACGGCCCGCCTCTGGTCCACAGACTCCTACCAGCCGCTGCGGGTGTTCACAGGTCTGTCTTGTGACACTGTGCGCGCGTTTGTGGCTTTTGCTGTGCTGCTGCTTGATGCGTGTTGTCGAGCGAGCGGGACCTTGTGTCTCGCAAGGTGCGTGTGGTTTTTTGTTCTCCTTCTGGCGTGGCCATTAATGAACCATGGAAAGCGTTTGTGTTTTTATGCTGGCACGGCCAGCTGTGTTGGGGCTCATTGTGGAAGTTGCTGCTCATATTCAGTGGTTCACAGTGATGCAAATGAAATAGAGGAGCTCATCTTAACCATTCGAATTTGACACTTCCTGCCTCACTGTGAAGTTAACATCAACAATGACTTAATTTCTGAAGAGTTTTATAATAGTTTATTCAAAAAAACCTTTCTTCATTTTGGTCCTAGAGGCTATCTGTATGTGACTACATTTCACAAAAACACTTTGGAACAAGCAAAAAAAAAAGACATTTGGAGTGAACTCTCATATCTTAGGATGCAATAATGTGTTCTGTTAGGTATTGACAACATCATCAAAGAGAGCATGTGATGCACTCAGTTTTTGTGCTAAATTAAATATAGCATCCAAATGTTTCAGGTTATTGCATATGAAATTGCCTTTATTGTGTATTGGAAACGCCCTCTCTTAGCATAATACAGCATTGGAGATAAGTCTCAGTCGTTTCATGTCCTCGTCACGTGGGTGCCTGTGAACTCCTTCATCTTGAAGATGACTCCGAGGGCATGCTGTAGATTTGGATGATTATGTCGCGCACCCTTCCGTACCTCAACTGAAAACTGGTCTCTGCCAGGGCTCACAGGAGTGCAAAAAGGGTGTGACTTCGTCATTTGTTCGAGCACAAAATTTAATGAAAACGAAGTCTTGCAACACAGTGCTACATTACTGCAGTGCTCCCGGCAGATGAAGGTCCATTTATATTCACGTAGAGAAACCTAGGCAAGTGCATAATAGATTATACAAACAGGCAGTATTTTCGGTATTTGCACTGGAAAGCCAAGCATGTTGCCTCTTTGTATGTCCTTGATTAGGAACAGTTTGATGGCACAGGTCATAGGAAGGAAAACAGGACGTATCTCCTGCTATCTCAGAGCATCATCAATATGTCAAAGCCTCAGTTTTCTCGCGCAACAGTACCCTTCATTGAGCTCGGAATGCCTTCCAGCTTGAACTTTTGAATAGATTATCTAAATCCCTCTCTTTTTTTTTTTTCAGGGTTGATAACTCTGTTAATTGTTGTCTTCATCTCTCGACAGCCTCTCATGCTTGGTTCACATGTTTTCTCGGCTGCATTACAGATTTTTACTGTCTTTGTGTAGGTTGCACAAAAGAATCACCTTTGTACAAATTACCAGTCAATTCTTTCATAATTCAATTGAGTCATGTGACAAACTTGCTTAGGGAGAGAAAAACACACTTCCCCTCGTCTCCACCCTGTTTTTGTCGCATACCCCAAGTACTGTTCTCAAATGGAAGTTGATTCAGAGGCAATGGCACTCAATAGTTCACTGGCCGCAAATGTTTAGACACCATAAATCACCCAAACAAATTCGATGGTGCGAAGCGTAAACATGCTGCTAAGTCTGGCAATATGGCCGAACTTGTGGCCGAAAACCGAAAGTTGAATTGCGGCAGAGCACACTGTACAATGATAGCTGTAAACAGAGCCCTGGCCATCGATAATCCGATGCACGGCAATGTGCAGCCGCATTTGTATACTCAGGATCAAACATTCTAGCGTTGTCACTGATGATCGTATTGTCTCCAAAATAAACTCAGCTATTCACGTTACGCGCTCAAGCCGAACGGATTATCCAAAAACTCTCTAGAATGCTCTGACATTTTGGTGTTGATTGTGCAAGCAGTATCCACATGTGCAATGTACCGGTAACATAAAGCACATAAAGAAGGGTGTGTGGCATTACGCTTGGAACTGGTGATCCAACACCCCTGGACTGCACACATGGCTGCTTTTGCAATGTGTGCCCGTGCCGTTAGTGGGCACTGCTGCTTTCCTCTCTATGTGTTTGGTTGTGAATGAAGCCGTGGGGTTGGTTGTTCACTAGACAGCTTGGTGTAAGGCTCCCTCTTGTCTGCTTGTGGCAAGCTTAACCCTCCACAGCTTTCATGGAATTCCCTCTCGTTGCTGTGGTTCCCTTTGAAGTGGACAACTCTTTGGTTGCTCGTTTCATCTGCAGAGGTCATGGACTGGTGCTTGTGTCATTTGAAGGCACCTCGTGTTGCGTTGGGCAATTCGTGTGCCTTCCCTTGGGTCCGTTGACCGCCTTTCTATTTTCATATGGCCTTTAACATCATAGCTCCTTTATGTTTATTTATGATCACGCAATCAGTGTCACAAAATCGCCCTCTCCTCAAAGCAAGTTTGAGCTTCTCATGAGAAGGAGTTTGACCATCTTCATCGACGACAGAATGGACCGCTCCACGTCTTTAATAGCCGGCGTTCACTAAAACTGCAGACAAGTTTTCCCTACAGTCAACATCATCATCATCAGCCTGACTACGTCCACTGCAGGACAAAGGCCTCTCCCATGTTCTGCTAGTCGACTCGGTCCTGTGCGTGCTGCTGCCACTTTATACCCGCAAACTTTCTAACCTCAACAGCTCACCTAACTTTGTCTCCCCCTCGTGCATATGCCTTCTCTGGGAGTCCAGTCAGTTACACTTTATGACCAGTGGTTATCCTGCCTACGTTCCCAGCCCATGTCCATTTCTTCTTCTTAAATTCAACTATAATATTGTTAACCTCCGTTTGTTCCTTGACCCACTGTTCTTTCTTGTCAACATGAGAACCTTAAAGGAGCACCGACGCAAAAGTTTGGATGCAAGCTAATGAGCGAGATAGAGACATACAGACCATCTACAAAGGAGCAAATATAACCTAGAACATATTTAAAATTAAATTTTAAGTGCACGCCGTGCAACTGAGTGAAATGCTTCAAAGCCCCTCGCAACGTCGACATCAACGCAGGGGCAATGTAAACAAGCCTATGTTACAAGTTCGTGTGGCCTGGTTGCTCGTGCGCGCAAGCTGTGCGCGCTACCCTTGATTTCTTTTTCCATGCCAGCGGCTTCGCGTATGCTGGCTGTGCCGTGACGTAGGCCCCGTGCGCTTTCGCACGCTCTTATGCGCAGCGCCCACGTCACAGTTTTGCGGGGTCTTGTCACCAGCTGTGTTTAACGTGTCCCCAAACTTATCCTGCCGAGCTCTTTGAAACCGAAACTGAAAATGGGCACTCTAAAAACGTCTCTAAATAAATAACACTCGCGCATTCATGCAAGCGATGTTTTCAGCCATGATAAGTAGGTCATAAGCTACTTGTTGAAAAAAAAAATGTCAACAAGATACGAAATTTTTGTGTCAGTGCTTCTTTAAGCAACATCCAAATTGTTCAGTTGCTCATTTTATTCAAGAGTGCTATGTTCTATTCGAAAAACTACTTTCGCTTTTGAGTGCAGCTACTATACTTGCAAGTACATCACCGCAAATAGAGAAAAGCCAAAGCACTGCCATGTTGGATTTGTTCCTTCATACATTCAACTTTTTACATGTTTATGGTTGTGCGTTCCAGTACATGCTGCTCCTAGTGATATCATGCAGAGCATCTTGACATGAAGTTAGTATAAGTTTAAACAGTAGTGTCATAGCAACAATGAATAAAGACGATGATCGCTCACACTGAAAGCACAAGCAGCAGTGGGGTCCCGCCATAGAAGGAGCTACGTAGACTGAGCGTGAGGTCTGTGTGCCTATATGATTATGGCAATACCACACGATTGAGGTGAGCGCTTGATTTGGTACAAAGTTTGCAGACGACAAAGTTGTTTGTTGTCTCGCACGACTCAAGAGATGTCTAAAGAGCGTTGTTGCCTGTGTGATAGGAGCACAACTGTGTAAGGAAGAGCTGTAATGTCACAAGCGTAAAATGATTAGCCTGAACATTCTTCTCCCGTTGCGATCCATGTTTTGGTAGCAGCAGCACTTTGCTACCTTCGCACACATATTCACACCTAACGTGCATTGTACTAATTAGTGTTTGCTGCTGTTTTCTGTTGTCTTGCTAGAAAGTGCCTTGTTTCTGTGTTGAAGACATGGATTCTCTCTCGCTATATATATATATATAGATTGTCCAGTTTACTTGGTCTTGTGCGCGTTAATTCTGTTTTATTTCTGCAAACTTTGCATCGTCTTCCCTCTACCCAACTCAGGTGCTCTCAGCTGAGCTTTCGATCCCCTCATATCTATTCTGTTGCTATCGCTAACCATCGATTATCTATGTTATGCATTACTTCACCCTCCCGGCTTTATTATATTTCTCTAAAGATCAACAAGAATATTGACAATCCCTGTTTGTATTCGGATCCATTGTACACTCTTCCTTCCTCTCGTGTTATTTTATTATATGTTTAATGAACAACTAGAGCCACTCGCCCGCAGCTAACAACCACATTTCAATGTTCAAGAAATGCACAGACATTCACATAATTAAATCATCTGCGAGCCGGTACCTTAAGGGGGTGAAGTTTGCTGGTAGTAAACGACTACGAGGTACCGTGCAATAGTATTGTTTTGTGTGTGTATGAGACCCTGAAAATAAATTTCCAGGCATACCTTTAATCACCAAGCAATGGCAACAAAGGTATTTTTCCAGCAAAACTCTATTTATGGGGCCAGTTGATTTAGGAAATGTTTGGTCTTTCACTTTCCAATCATTGTATGTCAAAATTTTACACTGGAACAGATTCCCTGCTAGTTGGTTATTTATGATTAACCATGGAGCAGCACTGCAGATTTTTGTTTCACCATGAATGTCGTTTAATGTACTTTTGACTGATGATTATATTGAAAATATCAGAAGAAAGAATTCTTACTAGCTAGAATAGTGTAATGCATGTTGAACCAGTCTTTTACATAATGGATGTCAGGATTGCTTTGGTGTATAAAGATTCTGATGCAGTTCAAGTTTAGGTAATTCCCAATTGTAAAATAAAAGTACTCTTGTGCATAAACAAGTACCATACAGCTCGATAATATACTTCATGAATAGATGCAAGAATAATGTTGCTGCATGCATCTTTATCTGTGTACATAATGAAAGCTCCAAAACACACTTCTTGTGGTACTAACTTTTTAAAAGGTTGCATGTCAATCATGAAGTGATGACTGTAAAAGGTCCTTTTAATCAAATATGGTCCCGAAGCTAATGGTTGATCCAAGTTACCATTTTGTGCATGTAGCACCGGTTGCTCAGACTTTTGTCTGAAAATTGTTGCGCTTTTTCTCGTTTTGCATTCACTTTTCACATATATCAACTACATCCTTGTAGCATTGTAATGTAATTACTGACAAAAGCAATTAATTGCAACTCAGACCAAATAGTTAGGGACGAGTTTCGTTACTAATTAACGGTGGTATGGGTGGAGTGGCGACAGTCCTTATAATATACAGTTGTGACACTCTCTATCAGTTTTGTCCAGTTATCATGAAACAAACACGGCATCACCAATTTTTGCCGGCTGGAAAAATGTATGAGTTTTTCTGTGCAGAGTGCATGGTTTCAACACATGGTTGAAAAGGCATGTGCTCTCCCCCCCCCCCTTCCCCTGCGTGCTATTCCCCAAACTTGCGACACCTCACTCGTGTCAGAAACTATAGCATAATCATTCATCCACGCATACCTGACAATTTTCTCTACTCAGTAGAGGATCATCAGCTAGAGTTCTCGGAGATCTTTTTTCTCTTGACCGAATACTCTGTCCCTGATTTTGTAAATTGTTGCCTCGCAAAGCACTGGTAGTTCACCTCTTAGAGGAACGATGCGCTTGTGAAGTCCAGTTTTCCTCTTTATTCGCTGTGTAGTTCGTTTTTGTCTCTTGTACAGAAATATTCTGGGCCACCCACTGAACACTGCTATACGATTGCTTTTTTTTTCTTTTTTTGCAAGGTAGTTCTAAACACTGCATGTCAGCACTTGCACGCACTCCAAATGAGTTGGTTGGCACGTATTCATATGCATGTGCAGCTCAAGCATAGATGAAAGAAGGAGGCACTTACAGAGACAGAGTGTAGGAAGAAGGGGTTCAACCACCCGTGCTGTTCTTTTGCACACCCGTGTGGACGCACTGTGCTTGTGAATTCAAATGTCACTAGAAGTAAAACAAGCGGTATTTGCTTTGTTTGAGGTACAACGAAACTGAAGTTAGATCTGGTGTGAATGCATTAACCAACATTATGCTATTCCAATACTAACTGTAGCTCTGCCCTTTTCAGTTCCAAAGTGAGTGCACTATTTAGCCCTATAGCACTGCGTTTCATTCTATATGCATTGCTTGTATATTAATTGCCCACTAGCATGGGTAACACAGAACCCTACCTTGCTGTGGTGGTCTAGTGGCTAAGGTACTCGGCTGCTGACCCGCAAGTCGCGGTATCGAATCCCGGTTGCGGCGGCTGCATTTCTGATGGAGGCGGTAATGCTGTAGGCCCCTGTGCTCAGATTTGGGTGCACGTTAAAGAACCCCAGGTGGTCAAAATTTCCGGAGCCCTCCACTACGGCGTGTCTCATAATAATATGGTGGTTTCGGGACGTTAAACCCCACATATCAAACACAGAACCTTCTTCTCAAACTGAGGTTGTGGCTAAGCAGCTGGAAGAATGTAGTTGCACTATATATATATATATATATATATATATATATATATATATATATATATATATATATATATATATATATATAGCTGACCATAGCTCTGACATAGCTATATATAGCTATGGTCAGTGGCCGTGAGGCGATGTTTTTAAAAACTTGAATGGCATTGCATTACTGTGTATGGCGTGTTCTGTGCAAGTCAACAGCTGTAGATGGTGTTGACGCGCGTCTTTCCCGCCATGCAGGGCACGTGTCCGACGTAGATTGCATCCAGTTCCACCACAACAGTAACTACATCGCCACGGGCTCCAGCGACCGGACGGTCAGGCTGTGGGACGTCCTTTCCGGTGGTTGCGTGCGCTACATGACGGGCCACAAGGGACGCATCTACTGCCTCCAGTTCAGCAACGACGGCCGGTTCCTCGCCTCCGCTGGCGCCGACTGCAAGATTCTCATGTGGGACATCGCGCATGGACACCTGCTTGCCGAGCTGTCCGGCCACACGGACACTATCTACTGCCTCTGCTTCAGCCGGGACACGGCGATCCTCGCGTCGGGCGGCATCGACAACTGCATCAAGCTGTGGGACTTTGCACGGCTCATAGACGAGATAGATCTCGAAGATCTCAACATCTCGCATGCACCGACAGTGCGGACAAACTGTGACGGGCTCCTGTTGGGCTCGTATCCGACCAAGGCAACTTCCATCTTGGCTCTGCACTTCACGAGGAGAAACCTGTTGCTCGCGGCTGGCATGTACCAGAGTGGTTCCTGAAATTGGGACGGGGTATCTTTTTAAATTTCTTTTTTTTTATTTGGAGGGTTCTGCCATGAGGTGTATGCGTTCGTCTTTCACTTCAGCACACTGACCATATTTTGGACAGCTCATTTCTCGCATTCTTATACATATGTACATAGGTTCATGTTTCATCGCTTTCTAGAAAAAATAAATATATATATCTATATCTGTATACGGAGCTGTTCTGAGTGTACCCAAGTTCTTAGTATGGTGGGGGTGAATTGTACCAATTTCATGTTTTGCTGCGAATGTTGGAATGAATTTGAAGACACACTAATTGACGAAAGTGGTAGACAGTCACACATGCATTTCACATCATGTTATGGGGCTCTTTTTTTAATGTGAAGCTTTTATACCTTGAAGATTCAAGCATAGAAAACAAAAAACACGGCACCCACGACCGCAAAGAAATGCAGCCCTCGAAGGTTTGCCGGTCGCATGTGTACTTGGTTGTGCCACTTAGTGATAATTGACGGTCCGCGGAATATGGGCTTGTTGGCAATCGAATGTTTCTTATGTGGCAATCTGATCTTTCATCAAGGTCATTTGTCATTTCACGTTGCCTCATTCCACTGTTGCAGAGATATGAACGCATCACCATCATTGTGCCTGTAGCAACTAAAGCGTCATTCTTCTAAGCATGTGGATGGCAGTCCACTTTCTGGCTTTGAGGAACGAAACAATTGGAGGTAGCATCGCACAATGCGACAGAAAGAAGGAAAGAAAGGTAGTACGTCGAGCACGCTTGCCAAACTTCGTTAGCTCCATCTTGAACGAATATGTGCATGACAAAAACAAGGATCGGAAGAGAGAACACAGATTACAGCGCTGACTCGCAAGAAAATGTTATTGCGAAAGGAAGTGGAAGAAATAGCATCTGGAAAATTTGAGAAAAAAGACAACCATCGCGCATGCTCTATATGACAAAACAAAACAACAAGAGGGTATGTGGCTCAGGAATCCTAGGCATGGTGCAAGCTGTCCATGATCTATGGTACTTCTGCATCTGACAGTGCTAACGAAGGCTGACTGATGCGATTTTTACCTTCCAGTGACACGTAGAATGCCTGCATGATCTCCCGTGAGTGCTGGTCTCTGTGGCAATGCAAGATTTCCGTTTCTATCGAAACAAGGTTTACAAGCACTTCTTTGACAAAGAATGGCGAAATGAGAACCTGTGCTGTTTTCGACATTACCCGCTTGCTCCTGGATTCATTTGCCCTCATTCTTTCGTTTTGGGCAAAGACTTCTGAAGTTTCTATTTGTGAACACGCTCAATCCGGGCATTTGCTGAGCTCAATGCAAAAAATTAGAGCGAGCAATTGTTCGTTATTGTGGATGTGCCCCGGCAGTATAGTGGCCATGGTGCTTGACCGCTGACCGAAAAGCCACGTTATCCAATCCCTGCGGTATGAAATAGAATGCAGAAAAAAATTGCACAGAAGCAATAACTGAGTTGTATCTTCACAACAAACCGGTAACTGGTGATGACAAGTGAATTTACTGTAATGGTTTCGAGACAAACAGTCTAAGGAATTTACTAATCTTCAGTGTTTTTTCCATACATGTGCCATGGCGGTTTTCTGTCCCACAGTGTCTTTGTCGTGCGGGTTATTTTGCACCCTCCTCTCAAAATTTCATACCATAATGGTGATGCTCTCCCACAGGCAGGTTCTGCAAACTCCGAGAACTTGAAAGGACTTAAGAAGAAGCGTTGAAAATGATTACACTATCTTCTTTCAGAGGTAACCAAAACTGATTTCTAGCATCAGAGCGCCGCACGGCGTGCAAAAACATCAATGAACGACACCCTTTAGTGTTTTTGGGTTTCACCGCGTGATTATAACAAAGGCGCACGAAACTTGACTTCTTTCTTTATCGGCACTCTCTTGTAGGGGCAGTGGTTGTTTCATCTTCATTAGCGCTGATCTTAGCTTCTCATCCTGAGGCTCAGGAGCTGTTCTCGTTTTCTTTAATTACCGAGTTAACTCTGCCCAAGGCAGCCACACACAGAGATGCCTTGTGTTTGCCAGCACAACTGGTAGCTCCAAGAAAAAGAACGGAAGTGTGTTTTACGAGTGCAGGCGATGATAAGACAATGCCTGTTCAAGGAATGCCATGCTCTGAAATGTTTTGCAGTTCTGTGTGGTGCTGACACCAAAATCTACACCCCCTCTTTCTTTTAAAGACGATAGTCTTTCATGGAGACCTTGGACGCAAAAATTTTGGTCTGTCAGTCTTTCTGTATATTTGTCTGTTTGTCTGCCCTTGACGATGCCCTAAAGGCCTAAACGGCACCAAAGGATACTCCAAACGGCCGACCCCATCCGCAGCGCCCACCAATATTGCTCAAGCTTTAGCATTCATACTTGTGCAATTATCAATTAAAAAGCAATTATTGTGCATATCTGAGGCACCATAACAACATGTTAATATTTTGTATGTGCGTCTTTTTACTAGAAAAAGCATACATAAGCAATTCTAAGGACCATAGCGTTTATCACGCTGTGCTGACAACGCAATGCCTGTACGAAAAGGCAGGTGTTTCCAATGCTTTGCTAAGACGACACGGTGGTGGCACCTACCTGTCGCCTTGCGTTCTACACCTTATCGCCTCAAAGACGGGTGCGCACGCTGCGCGCTTCGTTTTTCAAGATAACTGTCAGATAGCGCTCATGTCTCACGCGTTACGGGGCTTGATGCGCTCGTTCGCCTACGTTGCACACTCGAGGCACTCCAACGCAGCACCTCCAGAACACCATTTCCCGATTTTCTTGCACAGAACATCAAATAAACCAGGCGCAAGACTATCGTCTTTCGAAAACATTCGCAGTGTAACATGCAGATACGGGGCCAATTTTTTCGCCACAAAAGTGTTATATGCCGAGATCTGTCAAGACCATTGTGACGTATTCGGGTCATGGATATGATGTTTGTAAAGTTAATGCAATCAATTGAGAAAGAAAAATGTTACAATGAACTTCCCATGCTGGGAGTCGAACACATAACTCCTCAGCCTGTGATGATAAGTGCCAATACCGATCAGGCTATACCGAAGCAGATACCTGGCTTTTTACAAACGAGCCTTATATTTCTCATGCATTCTCCCTCGCGCAGTCCTCTCTGCTCCGGGACGGGATGGTGCCATCGTATGTGAGCAGAGAAGTAATGCACCATGAAACTTGCTAGCACTAATTGAGAGCGATTCCTCGATGACACCTGTAAAGCATGGCATCCGACAATGTGCGCCTGTGCGCAATCTCTGGGGTCATGGTTAAAGCATCTCAATAGCGGTGAGAAACACAGCCCACACTAGCATCAGGGAGTCGCCGACGCAGTTATGTTCTTTGTCTTTCGCTACGTTTAAATGCGTAATGGCTCGTTATCAGAGTGATCTAGCTTCTACATGCACCAACAGTGTTTTGCCACCGACGTCTTCGGTTATAATAGCACCAGCCAACGAAACTTCTGCAGTGTGGTTGACGGGCAAATGTCATGCTTTGGTGGAGTCAGACAGAGGTCAGTGGCACATAAAGCTGCGACTTTATAAAGCAGGCCTAAAACTAAATCAGAAGTGCTTGTTCGACGTCGCGGAACTCGCGTTCCTGGGACATGTTGTGAATGGCAAACAACTCTTTCCGCGAGCCTCATCTATCCAAACGATGAAACTCCAGCGCCTACGGACATAAATGAACTTCGTTCACCTGCTTGGCCTGGTGGGATTTTACGCCAAGTTCATTCCCCTTTTTTTTGATGTTGTGGAACCTCTACGGATATTGCTTCGAGGTAAAGAACCATTTTTTCGGACGTGAGCTGCTGAAGAGAGTCTCGTCCGTTTGAAATCACTGCTGACAACTTGCAAGGTTCTACCTTTCTTTGATCCGAACCTTCTTGTCATCGTCACGACCGATGCCTCTGGATATGGGCTAGGCGTTGTGCTACAACAAAAGAGCAAGGGGATTCTACAGACGGTTGCTTTGCCTCTCGTTCCTTGAGCCCACAAGAACAGAAATATTCTGCAGGTGAACGCGAAGCCTTAGTATGTGTTTGGGCTTGTGAACACTGGCATGTGTACCTTTGCGGTTGCCCTTTTGTTATGCGAACTGACCATAGTGCCCTTGTTACCTTGTCTACTAGGGGTGTTGGACATCGGCCATTGCGCATTTCACGGGTCAGTGCGACTGCTGTACTACAACTACATGGTAGAGTACCGCAAGGGAAGTGATAATGTGGTTGCTGATGCACTCTCTTGATTGCCTTTACCCGGAGAAACAGGCCAGGTCACTGACAATCAATTTGTTTGCCTGCTTTCTCCAATGTTTGCCTGCTTTCTCCACCCTGGCCAAATTACGAGCAGCTAGTGCATCTGACAAGATAATCACAAAAGTCATTGAGTTTGTTTTGTCATCTTGGCCTGAAAAAAAAAATAATCTCTCGAAACGGTGGTTATGCCATATTTCCATGTGCGTGCCGAACTATCCATTGTGCACAACTTGCTTTTCATGGTGAAAGGCTCGTAGTTCCAAGTAGCCTTGCTCGTCATTTTATGGAAATCGCACATGAATCGCATCCAGGGATCAGTCGTACAAAAAGTAGACTGCGAGAGATGTACTGGTGGCCTCTAATGGATGACCATGTAGAAGAACTAGTTAAAACTTGTCTTGTTTGCCACTCATGTGACAAATCTGCATGGCCTACTGCAGCTCCTATGCAGCCAGTAACTTTCCCTGGCAAGCCTTGGGAGAGAATTGCCATTGGTATAGCATGCTCCCATCAATTGCCGTTATTCGATGACGCTTATTGATTATCATAGCAAATGGCCACAGTTTCTTTTTTCTTTTCGAGACAAGTTTCTACGGTGACGGTCAAAGACTTCTTGTTACAAGTGTTTGCTCGTTATGACTACCCGAATGAAATAGTATCAGATCACAGACCACAATTCAGCTCAGCTGAATTTGAGGAGCTCATTCAGGAACGTGGCATACGCCATTGCTTTTCTTCTGTCTACCACCCACAAGCAAACGGTCTTGTAGAAAAGTTCAACAGAGTCCTCAAGTCTGTTGTCCAGATGGCAGTATACGAGTGGCGTGATATCCGTGTTGCCATGACGTACTATTTGGGCATCTACCGCTGCACACCTCATGCCACAACGGGAGTGGCACCCGCCGTTCTACTGCATGGATGACTGCCACGAACTCGCTTAAGCGTTGTTGAATTACCGGATTCTTCATTTCTCAAAAATCTAGCAGAGTCGATGAAACGGCTGCGTCAGCATACCCAACAAAAACAAGCTTTTTGCGAACTTTACACTGACTGCCGTCGTGGTGCTCGGACCAGAAACTTTGCCGTCGGCGACTACGTTCGTGTGAGAAAGCCATCTGTTCACGGAAAAATATTCTCGCACTTTTCGGAACCAAAGAAAATCATTAAGCAATGAGGGCCATGGCCTCATTTCTTTTGGAAGACGGTCGCGTATGGAACTCTTCCAAATTTCAAGCAGTTCACCCAGAAGCCGTGGCGAAGCTGATAAGCAGCCGGCCTGGAATTCTAAATTAGAATCTGCTCTCATCGAACGAACCTTTTCAAGGTAGCACAGCTGCGAGTGAACAACACGACAACTGTCCACGTACGCCAGGGCAAATGACCCAAACCAACGAAGCATTCTTCACTGCAGTCACAGTCCTCTTCACTGCGGAACAAAATGTCCGGCCAGCCATCACAGAACAGCCGAAGAGTGTAAAAAAAATTCATCGAAGCTCAGGAACGATGTGCTACGCAGGCGATAGTTTTTTTATCAGCCGGGGATATACAAGAGAAGATGAGGATGAGCACGTGGGATCGGTGAATAAAGAGAATGATGTTAAGGCATCGGATGCATCGTTTCTGTATGTTCTAAATACAACATTATTATGTCCTTCGTCATGTCATTTTTGCACAGTGTTAACGATACGATGTGTCCACATAATGTTCACAGCTTCAGGTGCCACAACGGTTTATTTGTAACCATGGGCGCTGGTCATCGCAGTAGAGATGTGCCACTAGGCGTCAACATGGGTGCATCAACTTTAAATTATTCAAGCTTAAGCTGGGCCTAGGATGGAACACCTGAGAAGATGCAGACAGGATAAAGGAAGACTCACAACTGATTTATTGAAATCACACATTCTTGCATCCTATAACAATGCGCACGTGCAAAAAGCAGTCATGACCATGCAATGCTAGTACCCTCCTCCCCCGCTACTAGAAACTCAATCTAAGCAAGAAAGTCAATCTCTTTCTTAACGTGATAAATATGTCGTTAATACACTTATCTGAGCCGTTTCTTATTGCTACTCACAATACTTCTGAAATTTCACATGCTCTTTGGCTCTTTGCTCACCTTTAACATCTTAGTGCAACTAAAAACGGGCATGCACTTTGTAGCACAAGTTCTAAAATTAATTGGCAGGTGCTTTCCACAGGTCAGAGGAAATTCATAGAAAACTTCCATTCTACACGGTAATACATGTGCCTGAGCTTTAAGCCGCGTCTATCCCTTTGTTTTTCCATGTCAGAAATGACGCACAAACACGACAACTTGCAGGGTGCTGAGAAAATCACATCAACTCCATATTTTCCCCCCACCCTCTCCAAGCAATGCGTCATCCTGTGTACATAAGGCATTACTTCAAACTTTCGCCTCTCTGTTTTCTGTTAATTTTTTGCCTTTGGCAGTGGTACTTCAGACTCCACGTCAGCCTGAAGCAAATCGGAGAAATTTGCACCACATTGACGACCTACATGGAAGGAGGAGCCATCTTTGATGTTGTAGTAAAATAAGACTTATCGCATAGCACCGTGAGACGTTCAAATTACCCGCCTCAAGCATGACGTAAGACGTTCGGCTTGAGGTGGGTAATCTGAAGTGCGCAAACCCGATGGAGACTACTAAAATGCGATTTTATTTCAAAATTAGCCCTTCTTTAGTGCAAAAGTAACACTGCGAGGTTTCTGGACCGCTATGTCGACAATCAACATCGACTTAATAATTGTGTTTAGTATACCCTTAAATTTCTTTGCCATTCTGGACTATTTGTACAATAAGCTGAAGTATGTCAAGTTTTCAATGTTCCAATCGTGCAAGATGTAGTCATGCTTGCGTAAGGCTTGCATTACTTTTTTGCATGTAAGTTTCTTTTACAATTTTCAAAAGAAATTGTTACATGCCTATGTCACAAGACTGGCTTTGTTAGCAAATGTATACTTATGGGAAATCAATGCTGCTTGTGGACTACCTCCAACAGGGTTCAAGCGCGGATTTAAATGCAGTATGTATCGATGACTTGGAAGCACATCGTCGATAAAACTCATCGAGAGATACTCTCTGACTGTGTGCGCAACTAGACATTGTCGTGATAGAAATTGGATGACAGCATTTCTGATAGGTCATCATTTGATTCCCTTTCATGGAAAATATATCTCTTATTTTTGCCTATAAGAGCCAATGCCACCTAAACTAGAGCTGAGAAAAATGCAGTTTTTTTGCTACGAAATATGTGATCAGGCCAATCTGCTTGTGTTGTCAAAATACATTAAATACATATAATAATGCTAAAATTGATATAGCTCACTATCGTTAGTATTCAGAAGTAAAATTTCAATTTGGCTATTATAGAGTACAACCATTTCAGTTGGGTTTGAGTTAGCTCATAAACAAAGACTTAATTGCTGTGAATGAATGATATAGCAATATTTTACGACAAAATTACCATTATCCTTGTGCTTCCGTTGGTCGCGTCCTTTGTTGCATGGACGTAATAGTGATGACTCGTGGAGCGAGTGGTGCGTCCAGGCAAAAGGGGCACAACTCCAGACTGTTAGCAGTGTTTTGTTCTTGACATCTATTGAAGGCCTTCAAAAAATACGTCAGCTCTTCTCCTTGTTGTATTATTTGATGCCATACCATTTCAGATCACTTCTTCAGTATTCCAGTCATCTTATATTTAAAATGTATTGGAGCGAAAGAACGACGTGATGTTGCAGTGCGAAGTTTCAAAAGAAACACCAAGAGGCAGAAAGGAGCTGGGAAATTGGCCCCCTTCTCTTTATAAGCGAGCTTTGCCCTACAATATCATGTCCTTTGTTTGGTAAGTACCAACTCGCCTGAATAAAACCACTTGTGGAAGAAAAGGTACCAAAGCAATTAGGACACAAATGAAACTGCTAGTTGTTTGGTCACTATTGTTTAACGAATCTGGTTGAGTTGGATATAAACAGGTGCAGGATATGGCTCATTTTTTTAATAGAAACTGCCTTTTTAAATTCACATTACAATCTGGAATGGCTTCATTTTGATAACAGCTGTTCTAAAAGTGAAAGATATTTAGGGCCACTTCGCGCTCTCGGGGAAATTTAGCTCAGTTTCAGCTTCTAAATTCAGACTTTTTTGGAAAAAGAACGCCACAAATCTTGTTTTTCTTCAAATGCCACAAATCACAGAATAAAAGTGAAGGCGAGGAATGATAATGGAATATGAAAGTTATGCCTGTATATTTAGAGGGGAGCGCTGGCTGCAATTCTTAAAGCTGAATCTATTTGCCATAAAACTTTGCCATAAGGCACAGTGATAGGGTGTTTTATAATGATTGACATAAGCGTCCAATTTTGCATGGTGTGCATGATAGAGTTGACACTACAAAGGACGAATTCTGGCAACTTCACGCACCGGTCTGGCTAGCTTTGACGACGTCAGGCACCAAAATATGCAAAAGGCCCCCCTGTGTGTCACCAGTGAAGCCATAGGGCAGAGTGGCTGCAGAAACATCACAATATCTTGTACAGGCACATGACTAGAAGCATATATTTTGTCGTGATGTTGGGGTACAGTAGCAGCAGAGAGTAACTTTTAAAATTATGTCATTAGTTTTCCAAGGCGAACTCATACTTTTCAGTACATTTTTGAGGCTCTGAAGGCTTGGTTCTTTATTGGATGTAAAAAATGTGACAAACATTTTTGGTGGGTGGGTGCAAAACTTTACTTGTGTCCAGCAAGACAGGCGTTAACAGACTGGTTGACAGCAAGATATGACTTTAAGTCGTTTAGCTTTCATAGGAATTTTCTGTGTCTGAGGGGGGTTAAAAAGTCACAGGGCAGATGACACAAATGCATGCATTGCCATGAATATTGGGGGGGAAGGGGGGATACAGCAGCAGCTACGAGCACTTAGCTCAGTTTTGCACAGTCTAAGCTGCAATACTTCTTCACGACCCAACAGTTCACAAGGAGATTGTTTTTCACCACCACCGTCTTGGCGGCGCAATTTTTCGTAAAAAAAGTCTCCGCAACTGGCTGACGGGCCGGCAATTCAAAAGTAACAGACGACGACGATCCGGAGCGTACGGCGCATGCGCACTAGGTCACAACTTCCTTTCCTTCGCTTTTGCGCCTTCTCTCTCAAATGGGAGAGAAGGACGGGGGGGGGGGTTAAAAAAAAACTCTACCCGCTCTTCCAGCGGTACTCGGCCGCAGCCGCGGTGGAAAACTCGTTTGCCCTCGCTTTCGGCACGGCGGAGCAGTTGCGGCGCTGGGCTTCGGTGACGAGCATTCCCTACGCGGGCCGCCGCATCTCCGCGCCGCCAGTGATGTTTTGGTTTCGGTGAGACACGCGCTCCGCGCCGGCAGCACGCTCCCGCGGCAATGGGATTTTTACGAACGACGGCCAACGTCTTCTTCTTCCTGCTATCTTTCGTCACCTTCGTGAGTACCGAACTGCCTTTGATCTTCTTCTCTATCCCTCTTCTTTGCCTGTCCAAGGAACTCGATGAGACGCCGCTATAACTGTATTTTGAAACTCCTTAGGCAATATCTTGCCGTTTTAAGTTCTCTTGCATTTCCCGCCGCTAGACCTGCTGGGAAAACAAGCCTCGACGTGAGCGAAGCTGGTTCGCGTCGCATAATCGGTAATTTCGTTGTGTCCGAAATGCGCCTCCTAACAGACGCAGTGGATGTGAGAAGGCGTTTTACGCGAGAACTGAGCTATGTATAATCTCTCGGTAGTGCGCCATAAGATGACAATGCGGTACATCATGACGCAGCAGAAAAAGTAAAGTAAGTAACTCCATTTTGCTAAGGAAAACAGAATGAAGTGATGAAGTTAATGGACTGTATGTACAGATGTAAGGTGCCGCTGTTTTCAATAAAAAAAACTGAATAGATATGAGATCTAGATGACTTGCAGCTGTGGTGTCAGTTCTTATTGCGTGGACAGCCAATTAGGTTAGCTGGTATGCCCCTACAATGCGTAATGTATTTCGGATACAGAACGCTTTATTTCACTGTTCTATCGGTGTCTGGAATCATGCTTAATTCAAAGCTGCGGTTATTTTAAAAAAAGTGCTTTCGATAGTTTTCAGCATCGCATGTTATCTCAACTATTGTGTGCCATCCTTGGTATATGCTGTACACAAAGCTAGGACACGTTGTCTACATCGCAGGCTGGCGGGTACTTTTTCTGAATGGTACGCAGCTTCTTACAACCGGCTTCATTGTCTAAAACACCGCTTACGGTCAGGACTCTGGATATATATGGCCTTGCACGGGAATAAATAACTGAACTATCATTTAAATACAACAAACGCGAGGGAGCAAATACTGCTTCCATTTTCGTATGAAGTTAGGCAAATAATGCATGCCCTGAAGTACAGAAAAACACAGCAGTGTGAGTTTCATTCAAAGCGTTGAGCATGGCACGGGGACTATTCGGGTTCGTGTTTACATTTAGTATATGTCAGATAGGCTATCGTCCTTCGTTTTTCAGGTTGTCCTTGTTAAAGTAATCATAGCGTGTAACTAATCGAGTGTATTTCTTTATACGGAAAGTATAGTTTGTAAAAAGACTGCAACGACACATGATAGCATTTTTTTTCCATAAGATGTCAAAATGAACGTCGCATTTTCCACGTGGGAATCAAAAGCCGGAGATGCGTAGGTGTGAACTCTTCGCTTAAATTCATGCGAGATGAAATATTTATAGAATATGCCCGCATGTCTTAACATGGCATGCGAAATCGCCCCTCCAATGGACGCATGTTTTTTGTTTTGTTTTTTTGCCTTTTGACATGGGACACCGGCTAGTAGGCATATAATGGGACGGGATTTCAAAGCACTGCCGACAGAGCGTTTTTAGTGGCTGATATGACACGCACGAATCACTCTGATTTGTACTATTATTTTATTTGTCCTGCGTTTCCTTTCTTGTGTTTCTGTTTTTGTTTCATAATTTCTGGCAAGTCGTGTCAGCTTTTGTGGGTGGCTCTCCACCATCTGTCGACGAAGTTTCGCCCGCTTGTATTGGTAGGTTCTTAATTTATGTTATGCAAAACAAAAAAAGTTCTGTATGTGACCGAAAGTTGGAACTCTGCATTATTAGTCCATGAAGCTTCTGGAAATACTGCGAACTTTTAAATTAATTAAATTAAATTTTGAATTTGGAGCAGCACTCTTCTTGATGGTAATGTACTTGTGGAAATATTGATGAACAAAAACAAGATGTTGTCTATTACCTCACTGCTGATGTCTTCTGTTCAACTATTTTTGTGTCAGCGTAATTTCAGCGGAATCCATTTTTAGCTCTTGCAGTCTGTTTTTTTTTTCACTTTCGAAATCTTTGTGAGCGAGCCTTAATTTTTTTTGGCGTGCAATTTTCAAGAAGCCTCGCATATCAACTTTGTGTTGTACGTCTTTCTGTGCTTTCCCCATGCAACACATTAGCATAACGACAGGAGGGAAATAATCGAACATGAACAGCGATCATTTTGTTGCTGAGAAACTTCACAGTCCGAAATTTTTCACCTAAAGTAAAAAACAAAACATTCATTTTACCCGTTTTGGCGAGTCCTGAGTTTTTACATAAATAACACCCTTTAATGACGCATGTGAGCTCTCTTTCGGAGTTTATTATACTCTTCACGAAGAGTCGTGAAAGGCGCTACTCTCCAAAGGGAGTTAACGTGTATTTTTGACGAGAGTCATATATGTGGCAAGTCAGAACTCACCCTTTATAAAAAGGTAAAAGAAGTTCTCTCTCTCTTTAAATGTGTTGCCAAACTACATATTTTACGGAAAAAGCGAACTAGACACTATGTACTACGAAACCATTCTTTTCGTCCAATTTTATTCGTTATCATCCGTCTCGCTGATGGCCGACCCATAGCGACATCAATGGCGAGGCTCCTTCAAACGAAGGACAAAAGCAGGAAGAATGATAATGAAAACAATAGTCATATCATTTGGTATTAAATTTCAAGAAAACACCGTTTAGCAAGCGACTAGTTGTTTTGTTTTTGTCTTACATATACGTGTGTGATACATGGTGTCGTTTTTTTGACTTCATCCTGATTTCAAGAAACCGTACTGTCATCGTTACTGGCGTAGATTTTTTGACGTATGCAATCATAGCAAATCTAGAAGCTGTTTCGTACAGTATCCTTTGAGCAAATTATTATATTTTTTTGTGTGACTGGCGGCATTTCTTCGGTGTTGTAAATCACGCTTGTAATAAAGCAAGCTGCGGCGTTCACCTTACCATTGCTCTTGAAGGACTGGATTAAACTCACCACTTTTTTTGTTATCATACTACAATTCTTTCAGCTATATTTCATTGGCCAGATGATAATCATTATATAATATATGTCTGAAGTTGCTACAGTATATACCTGAATATTTAGTGGACCTAGTTTATTATCATACGGGTGGACCGAAAATATGGCGTCATTATGCGCCAGTTGTAACTTATAGTAATCACGGGTGAGTGTTCGAATGTGGTGATTTGCAGTAGCTCAATGTACGTTGATAGCCTTTCTGGAAGTATGAAATAGCAGAAGTGTATCGATTCATCCTCCCTTGTCACATAACTGCTTTATTAGATGATCAGAAATTGTTGAACTGAGAATGTTGCAGGATCCCACGTTTCGACAATAGAGAACTTGTCTTCCTCCATGGGGCATTGCAGTTGTCTATCTGTACCCCATGAGTTTCAGCCTTAGTCAGAATTAACGCCCTGTCAATTGATGCCCACGTGATCTCGCGGCACTGTTTCTGCTAGTTAGCAAGAAGTGCACGGAAGCGAAACGCGAAGTCGCATCTTTTAAATGGACCGACACCTCGTCGTCGTTTTGTTCTCACGCTCTTAACTATCGCCATGTTATACCAACTAGCCCAAGCTGCCACACTTCTAAGTTACGCACCATAGAGTCGTGAACAAGACCTCGGATCTCCGGAATGGCGCCGACCTTTGTTTCTTGCAAGTTGTACCGTTCACGATTTCCGAAGACGCTTCTGAACTTCAAGTGACGCAGTTGCAGGATGTCGGTGATCTTCGTTACGACAGTTACTGTGCTTGGACCAGAATGTTGCCGTAATTTCGCATTTGCTCAGGTCACCTAATTCTTAGGGTCTCATTACGCCGCCACTGCTTCTTATATTCATGCGTGCATGCACGTCTGTCACTCTACGCGTCAGTGATTTCCAGAACGTCATCGTCGAAGTTTCAGCTCTTGACAGATGCTCCTGGTTCTCACGCATGCACAGTGAACTCGATGCGGAGGGCCATCCGCCCCTTCGCAACATTTCGAAGCCGAGACGAAACAAGGTTAATTATGGCGGGCGCGCTGAAGCGACAGCCCCTGCGTACGCAGCCGAACGCCCGTCCGGGCACGCTCAGTTTTCTCATCTTTGTGACGCGAGCCAGTCGCACACCTGCACGCGAGTGTCATGTGCACCTCCCTAGACGAAACTCACTCGTCCGGAATCCGTCGCAAACAACTATAACGTTCAACGCTTGCGCAGCAACGCAGCGGGCCATTGTGTTGTCCATGGCATCGAGTGCGAGAATTCGCGGGGCCAGTGGGCATACGACATTACGCCGCTCGCTCCGGCAACAATGCTTTTATAAATACCGCCTCGGCGATTGCTATTGGGCCTCGCGTCGGCCGTGGACAAAGAAAAAAAAAAGGTGGACGGCCGCGTTTCGTAATGGACTCTTGCAGGTCGCATGAATGCCCTTCTCTTGTCTAGTCGGACGGCGATGACCGGCTGGGTTCCTGGCCCTTCACCTCTGCAGACGTGGGAGATGAAATGTTGTAGTGAAGGGAGCACTGTTACTCCGCGCATAAGACGTTGACAGGTTCTCCATTTCGTGGTGTTTGAAAGCGTGTCTGTAAAAAGCCTTCCAAAGAAAGAACTGTCAGTGGAGTACACCAGCTTAAGAGCATGGCTTTGCGGCCTCTTCGATACCAGTTCGAGTCGTGAAACGGTTGCGCTCAAAAGGGGCGGCACTCGTTTGTGTGTTTGGTCGTCTCACTGTAAAATAGACCGAGCACGCCCTTGAAAAGTGTGTTTCTTCGAAAGTGTTACCGTGTTTCTCGCATTACCGAAGCACTTTTTTTTTTTCATTAATTGAGTTACGAAGACGAATGAACTGCCATTAGGCTGAAGAAAGCCCTCGAAAGACATGCGCCTGTAACTGTGCAAGAGAATCAGACGGTCATTTCAGAGGATAAAAAAAATGCTTTGAAAGGAAAGTACGCGAAGCTTTTTCAATCACCACTGCAAATCGTTCTGTAAAGGTAAAGTGTTCATCTGTCTGGACTGATTTCCCAGTTGCACAATATTTGTAATTTCTTCGTTGTACGTAACCAATTTTACTGATTGTTGCTACGTTTCTTCAAAGCTCGTAACTTAGACGTCAGTGACCTGAT